TATAGTCTATAGTCTGGACTATAGTCTATAGTCTGGACTATAGTCTATAGTCTGGACTATAGTCTATAGTCTGGACTATAGTTTATAGTCTGGACTATGGTCTATAGTCTGGACTATAGTTTATAGTCTGGACAATAGTCTATAGTCTGGCCTATAGTCTATAGTCTGGACTATAGTTTATAGTCTGGACTATAGTTTATAGTCTGGACTATAGTCTATAGTCTGGACTACAGTCTATAGTCTGGACTATAGTATGTAGTCTGGACTATAGTCTATAGCCTGTACAAAAGTCTAAAGTCTGAACTTTATAATCAGGATTACAGTGAATAGTTAGGACTATAGTCTATAGTCTGAATTATAGTCTATGGTCATTATATATTCTTACGATTTTGCCCTTTTAAGTTGGATATAATATAAAGTTTGTATTTAGAATAGATAGGCTATACATTAGTTAAAATTCAAAACACTACATATGTATGTACATATGTATTTCAATTTGTCACACTTTTAACTGTTATAAAGGGCCTTCACTTTAAGTTGTTATTGTTGATATTATAGTTTAAAACGTGAGATTTAATTTCAATTAGTACAATGTTCAAATGAAGAAGTTAGATTGATGGTTTTTTAGCACACAAATCGAAAAAAAAAAAACAAATAAAAAAGGCACAAGTAAATAAACAAATTTGTTCAAACATACATAAATAGTTTTAAATTAACCCATTTTAAACGGTATGTTAAAAAATCTATAAAAAAGAAAAAAAAATATTAAAAAGAATACAAACCATATTTATTACAAAATATTAGAATTTTTACAAATTTAATTTATAATAAAAACCTTTTTTTAAAGAAATTGAAAAAGAACAACTGTTTGTATATTTTTTTTTAATATAGATTTTATTTTTAAATAAAATTTATTTTATTTGAATAAATAGAATAAAATCCTATAAAATATGCAAATAATATTTAAAAAACTGCGCTATCCCGTAATAAGAATGCGTTTATAGTTTTTTTCATTTATTATTTGTGGCAAATTTCATGTTTAATTTTTGGAAATTTTTAAAGTTTTTAAATTTTGTTAAATATTGAGCCCCAACATTTAAAGTTTTTGTTTTGTTTACAAATTATTGAAATTAAAAAAAAAAAAATCAGAAAGTTGTAATTATTGTGAATTTAACATAAATTTTCAATATAATTTTAAAGTTTTAGAAGATTTTTATAATTTTTTAGTATTTTTAATAAAAATTTCCGACTACTTTGTTACTAAACTCTAATTCTTAATCCAATAAATTGTACAGATTATATTGTTAGTCCGATTTAATTTAAACCAAGCCGAATCTACTCATTCTTAAAACGCCTAATAACAAAGAATATTCAGTATTTTTGAGATTTTGTATTAGGATCGTAGGGAGAAATATCATTAGTCCTACCAACAATTGTCAAAAATTTACATATATAAGTAGACCCTCAAATAGTAATGGGCCCAAAGAGAACATTTCGAAATATTATTTTGAAAGCTGAATGGATACTGATTGCAAATTTTATTTTAATTAATGTTGTGAATTGATTTGGTAACTACGATTGCCGGCCACTGGTCTTACTATAGTCTATAGAGTATGATCAATAGTCTGGACTATAGTTGGCCATTATAGTCTGGGATATAGTCTATAGCCTTTACTATTAATAGTCTGTACTGTCTGTACTGCAGTCTATAATCTAGACGATATACTGAACTGTAGTCTATTGACTGGACTATAGTCTGAGGTCTTTATTATAGTCTATAGTTTTTACTATAGTCTGGACTACATTCTATAGTGTGGACTATTGTATATACTTTGGACTATAGAGTAAAATATAGTTTGGGCAGGCTACAATCTGCACTAAAGTATATAAATTGGTCTGGACTTATAGTACATTCTATACTACTATAAGTCCATACTGGGCTATGATCTGTAGTTGAACTTATGATTTATAGTACGAACTCAGGAATATAGTGTATAATATGGACTATAGTCGAATATTTTTATAATTTAAGTCTGTCTGGACTAAAGAATGGACTTAGGATTAGTGTATAGTCTGTACTCTTGAGGTTTCATTAGATTGAATTGATTAAAACAATTAGAATTTTCTGATTTTTTTTTTTTTAATTTTAAAAGAAGTTTTTTGAATAATATTTTACAAGTAACAATAAAATTTATTTTGGTTTAAAATGGGTTAATTATAGCGTTTTTTTTTTTTTGCCCTCTATAATAAATTAAGTAGTAAATACATAGTTTTATATTTATTTATATTTTGTTTTCATTTTTTTGTAATTTTTGTTTTGCTTTTGACTATACTAAAGAGGAAATGGTTGTTTTTGTAGCATAAAAATATGAGATTTGATTTAAACTCATATTAAAAAAAAACAGAAATACAAAAATTATAACAGAATGTAGAAGAAATAGGTTTTTTGTTTATTTGTTTGTAGGGTATGTATGTTTGTAGGTTTGTATGTAAGTATGTGTTTATGGTATATATTTAATAATGCATTTAACCCATTGTTTTAGTTTGATTTTAATGTAATGTTGTTGTTGTTTGTAGTAAATTATGGGGGACATTTTTTTGTTTGTTTGTTTTGTTTTTTTTTCACATATTCTGCTCCTACTATACTCACTTAATTTTTAATTTATTTTTATATATATTTTTTGTGGTTTTAATTTATTTTTTTTATATAAATTTAGTTACGTTTAGTTTTTTTTTTCATTTATACTTAATTTTTAATAAGGATTTTTATGCATATATAAAATTTGTTTATATTTTTTATTTTTTTAAATTTACTTTTATTTTTTTTTAGAAATTAAAGACCTTAAATACGAAATGTTTTCATTTTTTTTTTTTATTTTTATAAAGTTGTAGTGTATGATTTTTGTTTTTTTATTATTATAATTAAATATTATTATTATATTAATAAATTGTTTTGGTTTTGTTGTTGTTGTTTTTTTATAAGACTTAATAAATTAATTATTCATTGTTATTTGTTGTTGAAGTGGTTTTGTTGTTAGGACTTTCTTTAAATTTATTTAAATAAACTTGCTGTGGTTTTGTAAATGCTTTATCTTGTTTTTTTATCTCTTTCTTTAATATATATTTTTTTTAAATTTTGGTTCTGTGTTAAATATATAATAATATGTAAGTCTCTATAAAAAAAATTAATAAACAAAATTATATGACGTTTTGCTAAAATGATAATAATTTCAAAATTTATGGTTATTTTTGTTGTTGTTTCATTACGGTAGCTAGTGTAATTAAGAAAAATGTAAAAAAAAACAAATTCAATTGAATTCATTTTCGTATATTCAATTTAAGTTGAAGAATTAACAATTGTAAATGATTTGTAGTTTTATTTTTTTCTGTCAATTTGTTTAGTTTTGTTTTTTCTAAACACTCAGCAAATTAATTATTAAATCTTAAATATTTCTTTGTAAGCCAAATTGTTATTATTCAAAGTTTTAAATGCAAAAAGTTTTAAAATGTTTTCAATTCCGGCAAGGGTTTTGAAAAGTAATTCGAAAATGTTATGTTTTGGAATAGTTTAATAGCAATGCTTATGTCACCAATGTTTTAATTTTGGTTTTTTCCGTTTCGAAAGAAGAAGCTCAGGAAACTGCTTTTAACACTAAACTTGAAAGTTTCATTTAATTTCTTAGCTTTCATAAACATTTCTTTCAAAAAGGTATACAATTTTTCGGTAATCGTTCTTTTTTCGAGGAAAAATTAAACAAATTTCGAATATAAACTTTGTTTTCAAAAGCCCAATGGTGGCCCTAGTAGGTCTATTTCTTCGATGTAATCTAAAATAATAGTTGCAGGTTGAAATACTTTATTATAAACAATTTTTTAAAAACTTTTTTGATTTTTATTTAAATTTTGTACGAATTTTGTCAGATAAATTAGTTGAAAATCTAAAACCAGAAAATGATATCTGGAAATTATTATCTTTGGAAATTATTTTCAACACACATGCGTACACATAGACGGAAATCGGAACGAAAGCTTACAAGTTTCATAAATCCCGAGTTAATTACTGAAACTATTCAAAACAAAGCATTTTCATAAAATTTATTAACAATCTAGGCAAAAAAAATTGCGAAACTTTGTTCAAATCGAATCGGTTGTCTATGTAAACAACTCCCCGTTAAAAAAAAAAACTTTTGAAATCATTCATTCTTTACTGAGTGTTTCACAAATATGTAACTGATATAGTACAGGCTGTGGGTGGTGGGTAGTTGGTTAGGGTGTTGTTATTGGTGGTTCAATATGTAGTAAGTATGTATGTGTTGCTGTGTGAGAATGTATTTTCATAATGATCGTTAAATTTAAGAGATTTTTGTTTTTCTTCATTTTAGACAAACTTATTTATGTTTTCTCTATTGTATAATATAATTTGTTTTATAATTAGTTATTATATTTATAAATCTTCCTTTTTTTATCATAAATTTCCTATAAATTTTTTTTTATATACGTTCGTAAGTATATTTTGGTTTGTTTTGTTTTTTTTTTGTGTTCTTAAAGATGATTTTTGTTGTTGTTGCAATGTCGACGAGACGTGTTTTTATTTACCACTTTTTCATAAATAATTTATTTAATTTTTTTTTTTTGTTTTTTGTTTTATGTAATTTATGTAAGTTAATTGTTTATAAGTTGTTTGCTTGAATATGTATGTCGTTATGTATGTATAATGTGTATTTGAGTGTTTGTTTCTGTGTTGTTTGCAGTATTTAGTTCTGTACGTATGTATGCATGTTTATGTTTTTTTTAAACTCAATATGTGCGTGTAAATTGCGCGTGTTATTTTATTTGTTGGTAATTTTATTAATATATTAAATTTTTATTTAAATATATAGTTGTTGTTGTTGTATATATATATGTGTGTGTTTGTATGTGTTGAAAGCTTAGCTTGAGGACACAATTCTTTTGCGTTCATCTCTTGTTTATGTTATTAATTAGAAAAAGGACGCTTGTTGTTTGTTTTAAGCTATTTTTAAATAATTTATTGGGATTTTGTTTTTGTTTCAAAACGTACAATAAAGTAGTTTTCTCATATTTATTTATTTTTTTTTGGTTTAAGCAAAGAAAAAGCATAGTAAGAAAATTTTTTTTTTTTTGAGATTTTTGTTAATAAGTTTTTTTTTTGTTGTTTTTCATAAACTTTAACCACCAGCCTATCAAGCACAAGTAAATCCTTACTTATAGTTTAATTAAAAATGTTTTAAAATATTAAACCTAGAAAAATTTGATAGTTTTCGTCATCTTCTATACAAGTTTAAACACTTTGATCTATTAAAAACTCCTTATCGATGTAAAATTTTCAAAATTATAAGCTAGTTGTCCTTAAAGTTTCTTCTAGTACAAGTTCAAAATCTTTTTCTTTAATAAAAAGTAGTCTTCTGCAATACACGGGCCGAAGTTTTAACTTTTTATTTTACTTAGTTTACTTTATGAATATTTTCTTTTAGAAAAAAAGTAAATTTTTTTTTAAATTTGTGCGTAAAAAGAACTTTTATGCTAAAAATATTGTCGTTTTTGTGCAATGGCCTTTTCAATCGAAATCGCATATTTGAAATAAGTGGTAAATTCCAAAAGTTTCGATTTGATTAGAACATTTTGGAGAGTTTACTTATACATATAGAGCAAATAGTACTGCAAAGTAATTTCTTAGTATTTAAAAATGAAATTAGAAATATTTAAACTTGTACTCTAAATACGTTATATTTCAAAAGTTTTCTTCTTTCAAAAAGTCTTGCGGATTTTGTTAAAATAAATTTATTACTTTGCTCGACTTTTAAAACTTATCGAGAAGTGAAGAATATACAACAAGAGTTGCCTATAGATTTCTATTTTGTAGGAATAATCCACATATGTTAAACACTGATTAGATAAAAACGAGTTAATTTAGGAAAAATTAATGATTTTCAATTCCTTACCAATGATTGAAAATCCTGTTAATAGCATTAGTATTTAAAATTTCGTTAGAAAAAATTTTACTTTTTGAATAAGAAAATGGAACTAAAGTAGTGGCTTTAGATAGAAGTTATTGGCGTACCTAAAGTCGTTTTTTTATTACAAACAAGAAGTTTGCCAGCCGTGAATTATTGCCCCACTGCAGCGCATAAGTATTTCCCAAATGGCTTCTAAATATACGTCTCGTGCTCATCTGTCTAGGAAAGAATAGTTCCATTAACGATACCACTTTATGGGCATTACATATATCATACATAAGAGTTTAAGCTTATTGTCTCAAACTATCTAACTTCATGTTTGTTTACATTTTTTACAAAAATTTCTACTTTGTCTTAATGAAATCTGAAAGTTATAAATTTCTTTTAAAAAAAGTTAACAGGATTGTCTAACAGTTGGTAAGGAACCAAAGACTCTTCTAAAAGTTCCCCTTACTTTAACTTCTCTTCGACAGGACACTCCTCCAAAATACCACAAACTAGCAAACTACAAAAAAAAATTTTTTTTTTGTTTTTTTTTTTTTTTATTTTTAAATAGTAGTGTTTAAATATGTAAATATATGTATGTAGTAGTTAGGAAATACTGTGTGTGTGTATGTTGTTGTTGTGGCTGGTGGTCCATAAAAACAAACAAAGGAAAAAAAAACTTATAATGTAATTTCTTCTTATTACATTTTTTTGTTTAAATTTTCAAGCTTACACATTAAGTGAGAAAAAAATAAATGTTAAAAAAACTAAAAAAAAATAAAAAACAGTAAACAATCATCTAATTTTTGATTTTTTATAATAAAACAAGATATTGAGTATTTCTTAATAAGTTATAAGTTTACAGTTTGTTTTTTTTATATATATTTTAATAAGATTTGTGCAAAAATTGTACGTAAAAATTTCCATTATAAAAAATTAGGAAAAAAATATTATTTTCTTCTTTTTTATATAAATTTTCTTTTTTGGTTTTTAAGAAAAAGAAGTAAAGTTGTTGTTGATGTTGTTGTTTTAAGCTTATTAGATTTGTTTGGTTACAAGAAATACTCAAAACTTAAAGACTAGTGTTGTTTATATTAAAAAATAAAAAATAAGAATCTATGTTTTATATATAGAAATACAAATACATATATATAATATAATATATTGTTGTTGTTTGTTTGGTTGGTTGGTTGCATGTCCCTTTTGACAGAAAAAATCCTCAAACCTGACTTTTTTTTGTTGCTGTTTGTTGTTGTAGTTGTGTTGTAGAGTGACCACGGCATTTATTTATTTGTTTGTTTAAACTATAATGTAGTATAGTAGTAAATAGTTTTCTTTTTCATTTTGTTGTAGGCTTTTGTTTTTGTTGTTGTGTGTATGTGTGGTTGTTGTTGCTGTATTATACTTAAATTTTAAGTTGGTATTTAGTTCCATACACGCAAGAACGAATCCCATGAACCCGTTGCTACTGCCATACCATTCTCGGTGACACCCAGACAAGAAACGCGATTATCATGACCTGCGAGTATGCCCGAACGTTCGGCCTTCATTGTGTCCCAAACATTGCAGTTGAAGTCATCGTAACCAGCTAACAGCAAACGACCACTCTTTGAAAATGCCACCGATGTAATGCCGCAGATGATATTGTCGTGCGAATACATGGCGAGCTCTTGATCGGCGCGAATGTCGAATAGACGACAAGTAGCATCGTCAGAGCCGGTGGCAAACGCCTGACCGTTGGGGAAGAATGTCACGGCGTTGATGTCGGACTCGTGGCCGGGGAAGGTCTGTTTGCAGACACCTTCTCGTATGTCCCACAGTTTTGCGGATGCATCGCAGGCGCCCGACACGAATGTGTGGCAGCCGGGCGCCAGCGATAGAGCCATTACATCGCCGGTATGTCCCAGAAATGATGTTACCTGTTGGCCGGTTTCAATGTCCCACAAGCCGCATGTCATGTCGCCGGAACTGGTGACGATTTGATTGTCGTCCAGAAAACGGCAGCATGACAAATAGCCACCATGACCGGGCAGTTCACGAGAGACTCGTACATTGCCCTCGCGCGTTTTCAGGTTGTAAATTGAACACATGTTGTCAAGACCGCCGCAGGCGACGTAACTGCCGGAGGGCGCATACGCGCACGTCATCACCCACGACGAACGCAGTGGTATGGCATGGACCTTGTTGGTGGTGTGCGAATCCCAAACAATCAGTTTGCCGTCCTGAGAAGCTGATACTAAATTCCGAGAATCGTTGCCCCAGTGCATGGCGTAGATTTTCGCCAAATGGCCTCTAAGTGTACGTCTCGTGCGCATCTGTATACGACCGATGGGTTCCAATGACGAGGCCGCCTGAACCAGACTTGTGTCGCAAGCCGCTTTACGGGCATCACGTATGGCATTCTTAAGGGTCTCGGCTTCTTGTCTCAAACTATCCAACTCATTCATGTTTGTGTCGATTTTTTACAAATAGTTTTTGGGGGGTTTTATATTATAGAATTATTATTTTTAATGATTTTTTTGTATAAAAAAAAGAGTGGCTGTTGCTGTATTTTTTTATTTTTTGTTTTTCCAATTTTTTACTACTACTACTGCTGTTCTTCAGTTTTTTTTTATATGATGATGGTGAAAATCTCTATATCTTTAAAGGTGGTGGTTGGTTGGAAGAAGGCCGCAAATATTTTTTTTTTTTTCATTTTTTTTTTTTTTTGTGAGATTGAGATGATGTTCATATTGTATTGTATCGTATTTGTATATATGACGACGATGAAGTCGAACGAGGAGGGGGTGGTGGTAAATGAGTACAAAAAAAAAGAAATGAAAAGGTGCGGTGTTAGTTATAAAAAAATTTTTCATATCAATTAAACTTTTTATGGAAATATTTTAACACTTACCTAAAATTGTTATATTTCACTTGTAGCCGTGTAGTTAAGTTTTAATTTCCATCCAAAATTGTGCCTTTTTCACAAGTCCAATGATGATAAATTTTCTTTTTTTTATAATTGCCTGGGAGTTCTCCTCTTTTTTTCGTTTCGATTTTCTTCTCCTGTTGAAAAAATAAAAACTGCTGCTTGCTGTATAAATGATTCTCCCTTTTTTTGCTTCGTTCGTCGTAGTCGTCGTTTGACGTCCTCTTCACTTTATCCAACACTTGTATTTTTGTGCTCTTTCTTTACTTTGCCTATTTATTAAGTGTATGTATGTATATATATATATTATTCAGTGCTGCCACATTTTCATACTAAATTACAGAAAATCACCAATAAAGGAAAATAGTAAATCCTTATGAACGAATTTAAGAAAAAAAAAATAATTTTTAATACTAATTATAAAGCAAATCTTGTGAACTCATTTATACAAAGGAAATTATTAATAGCACAGATTGCAGTTGAAATTTCTTTACTTAGCAATATGACTGATGTCTCATACTACTGTTCTGTGTATACATATACTAGCATTTTAACCACAAATTGTAATTATAAATTAGTTATAATAATATTCAATATTGTAGCTAATAACTCATCAATTTATTTTCATATTCATATTTAAAATGTATTTAATTTAGCTTCACTTGTGGCAACACTGATTAAAAAATACAATATTTTTTCTAATGCCTGCCTCTTTTAATACATATATTTTTTCCAACTGTTCTACAATTCCGTTCCGAGTTCGATCGTATTTTAAGACAAGGGGTGAGAATTTTTCATTTCAATTTTTCTATTATTTCATGTTTGTTCAGTTAACATTAAAAATGACTATTTTTTTATAACAAACACCTGAAAAACTTTACATTTTTCTTGTTTCAAAGTAAAAATAATTTTTTAGAATTTTTTTTATCTAAAACACGAATTAATTTACACAAAAAATATTCCTCACTGACTTCGATTTTCTTCACTTTTAGTTTTTTGGTACACCAAAATTGCAATTTGCACCACTAAAGGGGGGAAAACTTTTTGATTAATAATACAACGAAACCAACGAACGAAACGAAAAAAAGAGAGAAACAATACAAATTTAACGAAACATTTTTACAAATATACAGTCCTTTCATTCATTCACACACACACTTAACTTAGGCTCTGGCACCAAAAAAAGGCGAGAACGAGATGAATGTATTGTTTTAATATAGAGCAGAAAATCAATTTAGTACTTTTATTACTCTTTCACTTATTTTTTCTTTTGCTTCTTTTCTATATGTTCTCTGAAAATTCTCAGAAGTAGAGTATTTTTTTTTCTTCATATGCAATAAAAAAAATTCATATCTATATGTACGATTTTCTTGACTTTATATTCATTTTTCACACCTTTTTCTTGGGATTATTCTGACACTTTTCACACTTACGTTTTGTGCAAATTATGCTAATTGTTTTTATTTGTTACACTATTATTATGTTATTTGTTAATTTTTATTGTAAACTATTGTTTATTACAAGCTAAAAAATATTTTTGCTAACAAATTCTTCTATTACACACACACCGCGGACGTACAGCGAAACTTTTTGTTTGACAGATTGGCCAACACCTATAATCTTTTTAACGAAACATTTATTTAGGGTTGTATTCAGAGTACTGTGGCGACAAATATTAACGGCGTCGGCGAGTGATACCAAAAAACGACTGTAAGCCGGTAAAGTTTTAATTTTTTTAAGAAATTTGTAACGGTATTAACATTTATGATTAACTTCCAAATGACTGCAATTAAAATACGTATATTATATTATTTTTTGTTTTGCCTAATATGTTTATTCACAAAATTTCAAAAACTGTTTCAAATGGTCTCGAAAAGTTCTTATTTTTATGTACAAATTATGCTTCTAAATTAAGTTGAGCGACGCAGAGTATGTGGAATATGAAATATGTTTGAACTAATCAAAAATAATACATAATAATAATTAATTTGTTTTAATAATAAACTTTCTTCTTAACGAAACATTATTCAGGGTTGTACTCCATATGTTATTGTTGTGGACTAAAAACATGGTAAATTTACAATGACAGTTTCATCATTTGTTTTTTCACTTTTTTTTTGCTATATAACGGTTACAATAGAATGATTCATAAATTATTGTTTTATGTGTGTGTAAAACAGTAAAGGACGAAAATAATTCTTTATAATGAAAATGATCAAACTGTGGTTTGAACTAGAATTAAATGGTAATTTACACGCAATATATATTTATTTTTCGTAATCCCTATAAATAAAAATCATTAAAATTTAAAGACATTTTTTGAAAAATTTACTACAGTAACAAAATTGAAATAAAAAAGACGAAACATCGGCTTCTTAAAAATCCAAAAAAAATTTATAAAAGTTAATTTAAAAAATCGATTTAAAAACGAATTTCAAACAATCTTAAAAATCTGCTATACGACTTTTTTCTTACAAGATTGTTAATTTATCAAAATAGTTCAACCTTATGAGAGCGCATAAAATACATTCATTCTGTCGCTGGCTCAATTTTCTGTAATCTGACACCAACGTATAGAAAATTTGAAAACATTTGTTGCAGGCCAAAGATTTTGTAAAAAAGCTGTCCCGGCATAATAGAAATTTGTAGCAGGTTATGATTTTTAATATACATACGTGTTGCTGGTTTAAGATTTCTTACAAAAGTTTGTCGCTAGCTAAATATTTTCTATATAAATCTGTAGCTAGCTTAAAATTTCCTATAGAAAGCTGTCGCTAGCTCAAGATTTCCTATTGGAAGCTGTCAATAGCTCATGATTTCATATAGAAAGATTTCTTATAGAAGGGCCTGCTCGGATATGCATCATTATGCTGCATCTGATGCGCAGTATGTTCGAAAATCACAGAAATATATGATGCCCAAAAAACTTCTAAACACGCATCATAAAAATGGATGATTTAGATTTAGTTTTATGGATTTTTACATTAAGACATATTAAATGAGAATATTTTGGCCAGGTTTCAGCTGATTTGCATTGCAGACTAATTATCAGATGAAGTGCATTGATGAATTTCCGAACAGACTCGAAATCAGTTGCTAACTCAAGATTTTCTATAGAAATAAGTAGCTAGCTTTACCTTTTTTTGTAACCACTATGAAATGGTCAATTGAACTGTTCAATTTTGTGCATTTTCTTTATAATAAAAATATTCATTTTTTGTTAATTTTTTTTGTATATGTATATAATATATATGTATATGAAAGTATGTAAGTATGTACATCAAATAACTTTATTTAAAGTAAAAAAAAAAAAATATGTATAAATATTTTTTTTCTTTTGAAACAGACTTTTTTGCTTTTACGCCGGTCAGTGTTGGTTGGATAGTATCATTATTTTTTTACTTTTTTCTTTATTAAATTTAGTTTAAAAAAAAACATTATCCAAAATGAATTTTATTTTGTTTCAGTTTATTATGAAAGCAGTCCGTGTTTTAATGCTTTTCGTTAGATGTAAAGAATCACACCGAAACCGAATAATTATTTTCCGAATAAATTTGATACGAATTATCTGAAATTAATAACAATAAATAAATAATACACAATTAGTAAATGAAAAAGACGTTAGTAACAAACACACACATATACACAGATTTAAAAATACAATTTATATTATTTGTTTTTTTTTTTCTTTTCGAATGTAGACATAGATCTCTCTTCTTTTTAAAATATTAAACTACTTTAAACTTTAATTAAGAATAATATATAATAATAATTTAATTTGTTTTAAAAACAAACTAAGTATTAAAATTATAAATTATTCTTTTTCACTTAATGGTCATTGCATGAAATCGAAAAACCAATCATGTTTATTTTTAACTTTAACAATTATTTAAATTTCAATAAGACGAGCCGAAGTTTAGACAAAATGAGTGTTTAAAATTGTGAATAATAATAAAAAAAGAAACTATAATTAAACAGAGAGCTATGTTTTTATTACTATTCGTTTGTTTGTTTTGTTTTCCGATTTATTTTTTATATATGTTTTAATTTTTTACGAAAATTCATCGATAAATGACGAACCAGTGCTATAATTCGATATTTTCGGCAAGTTTACCACATCACGACGGAAGGATGACAAATTATGAGTGAATCTGTTGATAAAAAATAACAGAAAAATTTAATTTAAGGGTTTAATATTTAGGGAATGCTGCATACTTCTCTTTATTTTTACTGGAAACATTTCGTTCAATGCCGCTCATTAAATCATCAAACCATTGGGCCATTATTTGTTGTTTGTCTAAAGGTTGTGCGCGTAGAATGTTTTCTTTAAGAGATCTAAAAAAGAATAAACAAAATAATATAATTTCATTCTTAAATCAATCTTTCAAAGATGTTCTGTAGGAAATTGTTATGGCTCAATATTTCGTTTAGAAATCTGTCGCTAGCTCAATATTCCTTTAGAAATCTGTCGCTAGCTCAAGATTTCCTATAGAAAGCTGTCGCTAGCTCAAAATTTCCTGTAGAAACCTGTCGCTAGCTCAAGATTTCCTATAGAAATCTGTCACTAGCTCAAGAGTTCCTATAGAAATCTGTCGCTAGCTCAAGATTTGCTATAGAAATCTGTCGTTGGCTCAAGATTTCCTGTAGAAATCCATCACTAGCTCAAGATTTCCTACAGAAATCTGTCGTTAACACAAGATTTTCTACAGAAATATGTCGCTAGCTCAAGATTTCTTATAAAAATCTGTCGCCGACTCAAGATTTCCAATTAAATCTGTTGCTGGCTCAAGATTTCTTATAGAAATCTGTCGCTAGCTCAAGATTTCCTATAGAAATCCGTCACTAGCTCAAGATTTCATATAGAAGTCTGTCACTACCTCAAGATTTCCGATAGAAATTGTCGCTAGCTTAAAACTTTCTATAGAAATCTGTCGTTAGCTCAAGAAAACTGTTGCTAGCTCAAGATTTCCTACATAAATCTTTCACTAAATCTAGATTTATGGTTTCAACTTATTCGGGATTGAACACATTATTATTAGCACTTTTCTTTGAAGAACATATTGTAATGCATTTTCTGTCCACGCTACAGGGGTTCATAAGCAAACCTTAGTGATGATGAAGGTTTTATATAAATATCATCTATGTAACTTATCATTATTCAAAAATGGATTATGGGAATTGCAATTAAGGATCATTTGGTGTAATGTAGTGGGTGTTATGTCTCCAATATTCCTAATTAGCAATAGATTTTTTTACGATTTAAACTTACCTAAAGTAATCTTCGTACAAAAGTATTAAAACTAATAGAGGTCTTGACATAGACCACTGATTCCGACAGTCTTCGGCCATCACATTATTTAATAAAGTTGACATCATATTTTGTAACAATTCCGAATTCATTTTAACAACCTTTAATAAAAGTAAAAGAAAATTAAACAAATATTTATTTTAATTAAAACCTAATTTACCTCTAAAAATCTAGCATTTTCCGGAGTTAAACTGCGTAATTTTTTATTTGGGAATGTAGACACTGAAATAAAAAATTATTTGCATTTCTTCAGCAATATCAACAAAACATGTTAAACTTACTTTTCAACTGAAGTTGCTTAAATATATAGGATACAATGCTATCCAAAATGGAACAACAGGTTATATAAATAGTCGAATCTGTAAGTAAGAGTGGAAAGTATACACATCTATGTTTATAACTATTGTTGTATATATAATTTACCCAAAGCTGTAAAACCTTTAGATAGACTTTCTAGAATGTAAACAAATGCACCAGGTTCTAGGCCAGCCAGAAAACTTATATGATCTTGTGATAAACAATTCAATAAATTGAAATAGGATGAGGCCAATTTGGGATATTCCTAGAAAAATTAAAAAAAAAAAAGTCAAAAGAAATTATGTTTTGTATTAAAGAATACTAAATGCAACTTACCAACAAATCATTCTGTTGTATTGACATGATCATTTTTGCAGCAATATTCAAAACATTATCCAATGTATCATCACCGTATAGTTTGAAAACACCAAAATTAACATAGTTCCCACCCAATGCATTCTTGAGAATGGTGAAACACACTGAGATGCCTTTCAGACGCATGGGATATTGTTGATCACGTGGTACATCCAAATGCAAAATACGATTACCATAGATACAAATAAGTTTTGATGCTTCACGGAATAACAAAATACCCATGGGACTGGAAACGTTGCCCTGTAAACGTTGCGTACGACAATGCACTAATTCGGCAAAAAGTTTTAACACTGGTGTTGTGACAGCAGGATCATGGGCCCAAAGTTCAACAGCTCGTATTAACATGGGTAGATAATCGGAGTAGTATCTTGAATAACAGAAAAATATGTGTGTTTTCAAAATAAAATCGAATCGTTACGTTGCCTTGTCTACTTACAACCACTCAAAGAGCATGGTATAAGGAACACGTGATGTTAAGGGTTGAGCTAGACCTCGCAAATCTCTGGCCAAGCCAATAATCGCCTTTTTGGCTTCCTCGTTGGGAAAACTATTGGTGTCCATAAGAACAGGACCCAGGTTTTCAAATTGATCTAGTTTTTAAAGAAACAATTATATTTAAAATTTTCTTTGTCAACAAGACAATAGTAAACTACTTACTGGTTAAGGGAGTTAGAAAACTATAAAATCTCTCTTCATCTTCGCCCAAATCAAACATTAAAAGACGTCCAAGGGACGTATAAAACATGGTACGACAACGCATTTCCGTTAATGAGGAATTAGTTCCCAAAAATGGAAAATGTTCGCTCTAAAGAGAAATCAAATATTTATTAATAAAATTTAATTAAATAAATAAAAGTAAAAAACTTTACCGTATGATGTGTAAGCATAAACTGCACTTCCTCTAGTTTTGCTAATTTTCGCACGGAATTGAAATGCACAGAGAGATCTGATAGCAGCATTAAAGTTTTCGTTATAATTTGCTCTGAATGGCCCCAAAATTTCAGATTTGTTATACTTTGAGAAAAAATAATTAAATAAAATAACGAAAGCATATAAAATACTGCTTAAAAGCTCACAAATTATCGAAAACTGTATATAATTTGAAAGGTTTATGAGTCCCCATGATTTAGAGATTACTTTAGCTGCTTTAAAATTTTTTTCGAACATAAGTTCGAATTTTCGAAAATTCGTAAAATTTTAGAAATTTGCCACAAATACAACTAAAATTATATTTTTAGTATTCACCATGATTTACAAATTATTTAGTAGCTTTAAAATTTTTCGAACATAAGCTTGAATTTTCGAAAATTCATAAAATATGAGAAATTGTCTATTCAATGAATTATAAATTCATACAATTTAAAAAAAACTCACATTTTACGATTGATAAAACTTAAGAGCATTTGTTCATCACTGATACCAAATACTTCACTTAAACGCTTGTAAACATTTGCCTTTTGTGTTTGTTCACTGATATGCATTTTGCGCACCTGCTCCAGGAAACTTAAGATAGCCAATTCAAGTTTTTCACAGCCTGCTTGCGGTAGACGAGCATCTGTTAATCTCATTAACTGAAAAACTCTGATAACCAATTCAGCATCCATGGTATCATGTTCATCATTCGAATTGACCGTCAGGCGACCGACAATTGCCGAACCTATGATATACACCAACCATGTCAATTGTAATTCATGTATGCTGATATCCATGGGATTTGAGTTGGGTGTTTGGAGTAAATTTTCATATTCACGGGCTTTTTGATCGAAATGCTGAACCAATAATTGGCACGTTTTATCATATTCACAGCGTTCGATGACAGATAGTTGTTCCAATTGTTGTTGTACCATGCACAAATCATCCAGGGGATCATCAATATTATCGCGTACTATGACGGGAACGGCATCTAGACGTGATTCAACATAGGCTTTTGTTACCTCTGGTGTATAGGTGCCTAATAAATGAGGTTCGGCAGATTTAACATAAGGAACTGAAGCCACCATACGTTGCCATAAGGTTAGCAAATAATGTACACTATTAGGGGCAAATTGCCACATCTGTTAAAGACATAAGATTTGTAAAGGAATCGAAAAACAGTTAGTATAAGTTTGTTTAAGGTACCTGTAATGATTGCACGGTAAATTTAGCAATTAATGCAATAGCTTCGGGATAACAAGGCACTGCAATCAATTCACCCAATTGATAGTTAGACTTTAAACGGGCCAAAAGACGACAAAATTCATGGTAATTATCAGGATCACTTAAACCCTAGAGAAATATTTTCTTATAAGATTGTGACATTCTTACTTTTGAATATTTCCACTTACGTGTAAGTTGACCAGTATATTTTTAACACCTTCCACCAGATGTGTAAGAAACTTGGTACGTTCCGAATTATTGAATAAAGAACGACGTACAGATGTCATCTAAAAAGAGTTTTTCAATTAAATTGCTCCTCTGCCTTTAATCATATACTACTTGGAATATGACAAAATTTACCTGTACCAAACAAGCTAACGAATAGCTGGCCAAACCATTGGGTAATATTTGATACAAATCGAAAAATAATTTCAAGGTATTTGCATCTAAAAATGCCGGACGCCATGATGTGGGTATTTGAACGCTATTCATATCATCAGATGACTCATCTGTTGAACTGCCAATGAAATCGAAACTCAAACAGTTCTTTGTTAGCCGCAATACATGAGAAACAAGACTATAATAGAAAAATCAAAATTACAAATGGATATAAAATTATACTTTTACAAAGAATATTATTACTAACTTGACATAAGCTTGTTGCGATTCGTCCATGAAATTCAATGTTTTACTATTATCACGTGCTGTAACCAGAAGATTACACGACAACAGAAATATGTCGAAGAGTTGTTGATCACGGAATGATGTAGCAATTTTACGATTTTTGGAAAATGATATATTGGCATCAACCTCCACAATTGAATTCATTTCTAAAACTAATTGTGAAAGAATTTGCACTCCAATTGTACAGTGTTCCACAGAGCCCTAAGAAAAAGTAAGATGCAAATATAAAGTATATATAAAAATTACTACATACATATTATTCTAATTTAAAAAATTCAAAATTGAAAAATTTTGAATTAAATAAATTAAATTACCCACTTAGTTTTTAATATACTGGTCATTTTTGAATATAAAATTGATCTAACAGATTAGGGATCATAAAGTCGAACCAGGTACCTATACATTCTAGTTTTAAGACAATATTAAACCAATGTACCTGTAAAAAAGTTTTTACATCTTCCAATAGATTCTGAAATATATGTTCATTTTTGTAGGTATCGAACCAACCATACTTGGTTATTTTAGCTAAAAGCGTTACCAAGGCCTGCACTACGAAATGTTGCAAATTCGGTCTATTGGCCAAATAATTAAGAATATAACTCCTAAAACAAAAAATACAAGAAATTTTAATATCCACTTCAAAATAAGCAATATAAACAAAAGTATACCTAATATCAATGCGTTGTTCCAAATTTAAACCTTGTATCAACTTAGTCAAGGTGGTGGCGGCCAATAATTGAGCATAGCTGGAATCGGCACGATCCAACAACATTTGACATTTGGGCAGAGCATCTTGGCTGCTAACAAATTGTACCAAAGTCTTTTCGGCATTGGAACGCAAAGCAGAATCTGTGGCTTCATATAGCTGTTTACACAATATCTCCAACTGTTGGATTTCCTAGAAGAAAAAATGAAAAATAAACCAATAATATCCAAAAGAAAATAGAGACATTTGCCAAACAGCAGCAAATCATAACCTCTAAATAAACTAAACTTGTTTTGCAAAACAATTTAACCGGCGTATTTTAGTTGCTTTTAACAAATGTAAATATTAAAATAATGATATTTTGTTGATATATTAGTATTATTTATTTAAACTTACCATTTTCCAAATAATGTGTGTATTTATCGTCGTTTAAGAAAAAAAATTAACAAGATATCCTAAAGTAATGGACTCCTGAAATTGTACAAATATTTGTTGTTGTTGAAATGCTGCTCTCTTCAAAATTATTTTCGTTTTACTTTCTTCTACATAAAAATATAATAAGAGAAACAAACGCTTTTATTTTGTTTATATGAGTAATGTAATTAAATGTATAGATATTTTTAATAATTTATTTTTATACTAATCAGAATTAAAATTTCTTTCAAACAAAATATTTGCAAAAAAACAAGCTTCACTGTGTAAATTTTGTTGCAAATTTCGCAACTACTTCTTTTTTTTCTTCTTATTTGTTGTAATGACAAACATTCAGCCGGAATAGATAACACACACAACAGTGTCAAAATGAATTATAAGCAAAATCGCTGGAAAAAGTAATCACTTTTTAATAAATAATACAAAATATATGTTTTTTATAAAATGTATTTAATTATTACTAAAAATTTTTCATTTTATAACAAACATTGTTTCTGATAAGAGAAACATTAACCATTTTACTTTTATGCTTCCATGTTATAAGCAAAAAAACGCTATATTAACATTACTGTTAAACAAGTGCAACAGCAAGAGGTACTAATAGATGATGACAGCAGTGTCAAATCTGGTTGATTTAAAAGGAATTTATAATTTTTTATATACAGAGTTTGACAGCTTCATTTATGAGGAATTTTTAAATATATGTTCATCTTTAATGAATTTGCTTTGTGCAACAGCATCTCATTTGCCGGTAATCTGTGGCAGAGTTAAAAAACTTAAAGATATTTTTAGAAAAAAGTGTAGTTTATTTAGTTTTTTTGTAAATAATAAAATGGATTATTATTACTATGACCAAGTAGGCGATCATGAACTTGAGGACAATGAGGAATATGACTACGATTCAATGATATTGCCCGAAGAAGAGGAAACTTTTAAGGATGTCTATCAAGGTTGCATAAAATCCTCCACGCAGCAAGTGCAACAATATATAATAGTGTTATTAGGCTGTGGTTTTTTGCAACGTATTGCCTGGGAACTGGTCAGACGTTCAGTGGGTCATAATAGTAGACATCAGTATGTTTACCATTTAATCTCTATGGTATGTGGCCTTATCGGTTTATGGTTTTATGTTGGTGTTAGCAATAGCATTCATGTGGTGCTGCATGTTTTGAATTTGTGTTTATTCCTAAAATTGGCTGTAAAACTTAAAATAAAATCTGCGGGTTGTTTGGTCTGTATTTATACCATATTATGTCAATTGCTATTTGAATATCTATTGAAATCGGAACAGTATGAAACTATTAGGGGACCTCAAATGGTGGTGAGCATGAAACTAATATCGGTGGCCTTTGAAGTGCAAGATGAAAAGGAAAAGTATCAGCTTTCGAGTTATTTAGGTTATCTTTTAAGTCCGGCTTCTTTAATATTGGGACCCTGGATCTCGTTGAAGGATTACAAACCAAATTTTAATGAGAAGTTTAGATTCTTGCATCTATTAAGCAGAATCCTTTTGAATATATTAATGGCTGTAGTGTTTTTAAACCTTTCCAACTGCCTAATACCATGGTTAAAACAATTATTGAGTTTGGGTTTGTGGTGGGGCACATATTTAGATGCCTTTTCCGTGCGTTGTAGCCATTACTTTGTTTGCTATTTATCGCAGGCTACTGTAATGTCGGCCCAAGTAAATGCTTTTACATTTAGCTCTTCCTCTTTAAAATCTTCTCAGTCCATTGTAAATCCGTGGGCTATAGAATTTCCCCGCTCTTTGTCAGATGTCATACGCAACTGGAACATACCCATGCATTTGTGGTTGAAACAAAACATCTTTAACCGTCTTCTGGCCTCACATTATCCTTATTTTGTGAGCATTTTTCTTACTTACTTAGTGTCGTGTTTAGTTCACGGCTTTAACTATAAAGTCCATTTGGTTTTGTTTTCCCTGGGTTGTTTTAGCTATTTTGAGAATCTTTTAAGACGTTGTTTGGCTCAAGTATTTGATGCCTGCATAGAATCTACAGCCTGTAAACAGAATTGCAAATATTCCAACTGTGCTCGCCGTAAAGGACAATATTTAACGCCATCCTCACTCTTAGTACGTTTAGTAAATTTCTTTTTTGGTTTAATAGTTGTCCTACAATTGGCCTATCTGGGGGTGTTATTATCTACCACATCAACCGATACTTTGTCTATATTACAAATCTGGTCTAATATGAATTATATGGGTCATATATTAGCCATGATCATGTTTGTATTTTATAAATGTATTTGAAATCTAAACATTTTAGGGCGGGTGTATTAAGAAAGTAAGCTTGTACTTAGTATTATAGTGTACGTAAAAATGGATTTTATTTAAAGATGTTTAGTTATAAGTTATGTTTAAGTTGTTTTTGTAAGTTTATAAATATGTATTGTATTTATAGCTAAGCCAGTAATAAATTGTTAATGATTATTTTATATACATTTTTATAAAAAAAAAAAAAAAATAAATAAAAAAGAATAGTTTTTCTTAAGCAATATAATTTTTAAATAAGGAATGTTTAGAAGAGTTTGGTTTAATTTAAAGAAAATTTTAAATAATTTTCATAATTTCGGCTAATATATTTTATTTATAACAATTGTCTTTTACATCAAAGTGCCTTTAATTTGTTTCTTTTGTATGACCAGCCCAGTTTTATCAGTTCCTGATTTTCATATGACCAAATGGCCACCACAATTAACACACTAACAACTCCCAAAGCCAAATGCTTGATAATGGAAGTATTAAACTGTAAAAAAGTTAAATGTTAACTAAAAGAAAATATTTAAAATTTTATGACAAACTTACCATAAAATATTGGCATACAATTCCCACAAATATTAAAGTCACTAAAAACAGCTTCTTTGGCAAAAAACCTTTTAAAGGATTGTAATCCAGGGGTTTGTATTGCAACCAAATAAAACGGGTGCTGAAATTAAATTTTAAAGACATTAGAAATTGCAATTATTTAGTTTTCAACAGACAAACCTAAAACAAATACGGGAAAACATATTGATACAATTGGCAAATATGAAACCAACAGGACCAAAAATACTCGTCAACACATAGGATAAAACCAGAAAGCTTACACTAAATATAGCCATAAGATAATTATATTTATCAATATCTTGACTAGTATTAGTGGCAAACATATAACCCTCGGTAATACCATTAACCGCTAAGAAATATATAGCCAAACAATGCCATTTTAGTAAAACTACCGGCAAACCATCTGCTACAAAATCAGCACCACCATACAACAGCAAAACGGTGTGTGCATAACTCTGACCAAATACCAGGGCCAGTAGACCTATGGAGGATACAACTAAAGACAGATGACTTAGAACTTGAGCGGCTTGTTGTACTTTTTTCTTTAAAAAAATAAGAAATCTATTTAGTATCTATAGGTGTTCAATGCTTTTTAATTTACAATTCCTTTCTATTTACCTTATTCTGTTCTTGTAGGGCCACATCTCTAGCAATAGTTTGTGTAAAATAAAAGTAACTGCTCTCTTCTATGGGTCTAAATATGAATCGTGCCGCCAAGCTGCCCAAATTGTTGACTACATCGTAAGTGGCCTGCTCACTAAAACTTAAGACGGGACTCATAGACATGACGTATTTTTCACCTTCCGTTAGAATTTGTTTGAGAACGCCTTGCTTAACAAAGCTTAAAGTTAAAACCTGCAGCTCGGAGTTGAAAAAACTTTCCTAAGAAGAAAAAAATAAAAATTTTCAAAAAATTTCAATTTTTAGTAAAAAATTTACACTTTTTCTTACCTTGTTAATCATAACGCCCGGAAGAAATTGCTTTAAACTTCTAAATGGAAAATCCTGCATATTATCAAAAACTGATGCATCGACAAAAGGTATTCTAGGCTTCCAGTCGCTTTCTTTCTTATCCTTCGATGATTTCTTATAATCCTCAAATAACTTAATATAATAGGCAAAAAATCCATAGTGCGATAGCAATATTGTAAACGCACTAACCAATTGAGCTATGGCAAAAGCATAAATGGCCACCGTACCATTTCCTAAGACAATCCAGAGAAAGACCACAGAACGTACAAAGATATGAAGCGTATTAAGTATAACTTTAAGTTTAACAAAACAAAAGACTTGTATAATAAACACTGGAGCTTCGGCACACAATTCTATGACACAAGACAAGGCAACAGCATAGCAAGCAAAACGGTATTGTGATGCAAATACCGCATCAACAGCCGATAGCCAATTGAGCCATATATACACGCTAGGCAGGCTTATAGCTATGCAGATGGGTACACTGGAATGTGGAAAAGGAAGAGGAGAGCACAATAGACATAGAAAAAATGGAAAAAACATACATACAGCATTTTCATTATATACATAGTTTGCTAAAGCTTTACTTACGTTAGCCACTGCTGATTGATTAATTGAGCCCAAGAGCATTTTTCACGCTGCTGGGAGGTGGCGCTTAGAGCAGCACGATTTATAGCCTCACGAGATAAAAACAATACCGTACTCTCCAGCAGCAGTAAGCGAACATTCATAATACCCAATACCTCACGGCCAACATTGCGTACTATGAAGGCATTGATACCAAAGGTAACAATACGACATAATACCTACATACATATTTATATGTTTAGTATGAAATTAAAAATTATGATAAGATTTTTATTAAGTTCATTTTAGTAATTAGATTTTTGAACTCACCTGAAAAATAATACTTAATCCGGCGTTGAGCAAACTACTTTGCAAAACATTACGTGACATTTTGTTGTGAATAAATTTGTAGACCTGGGCATTCAATATTTATCTCATACCTGTCCACCACACATTGTTGTCTGTCTGTCTGTCTGACTTTCCTTGTGCGTATTGTTCCTATTTTAAATTTGTGTTTTTTGTGGGGTTACTAATTTAGTTGGGATGTGTTATGTTGTTATTTATATTAAAAGTCAAAGAGTTTTCTTTATTTTTTAAAAATTAGAACATTTTTAAAAATATTATACACTTAAAATACACTTTTTCACATTAAATACAACAAATTACTCAGAAATTTGTACAAAAGCAAGCGTTAAAATAAAAACAAATATGGCAACATAAACATTTTTGACAAGTAAGTCCACAAATAGCAAGTTTAAAAAACAAGTAAGAAAGTATAGTCGGGCGTGGCCGACCATATGATACCCTACACCAGTTATGAATATTAAATGTGATTTATTTTTCATAATGAAGCATTTATCTTCAATATTCCCTTGTTCCGATACATTTAAGCAATTTATGGATGAAAATCTAATTTTCTGAAAGAGGCTTTATATGGGGGCTAGGGGCAAATATGGACCAAGCCCGATAAAATTTTGTGAATATATTTATATTTACATAATATTTTATTGTGCTAAATTTCATCGCGATATTTGTGTTTATAAGTTAATTTGGGACATTCAAGTAATTTTCTGAAGGGGACTTTGTATGGGAGCTAAGGTCAAATGGGGCCCGATCTTTATGAAATTTGGCAGGGTCATCCAGACTTCTATAAAACTTAGTTGTGCCGCATTTTATCGATATATCTGTAAATTTAACAAAATTATGAGCTCAAAAGCCCTTTTCGGGGGGTTCTGTTCTATGGGGGCTAGGTGAAATAATGGACCGATTTCAACCATTTTCAATAGGCTTCGTCCTTGGGTCAAAACGTGCGTGCCAAATTTCATCCAATTATCTTGAAAATTGCGACCTGTACCTTGCGCACAAGGTTTACATGGACAGCCAGCCAGCCTGCCAGACGGACGGACGGACGGACGGACATAGCTTAATCGACTCAGAAAACGATTCTAAGCCGATTGGTATACTTTAAGGTGGGTCTAGGACGAATATTTTTGTATGTTACAAACATCAGCACAAATCCAATATACCCTCCCCACTAAAGTGGTGTAGGGTATAAATAGTCAGCTGTTCAAATGAGTCTACTTTATAAATTTACTTTGGGATGTGTAATGTTTTTATTATTTTATTTTGTTCCAGGACTTATTGCCGTAAGAAATTTCAAATCCGTGAAGCTATTACCACTTGCCAAATATCGCAAAGTCAGACTTAACTTTTCTTCGGGCGATATTGTTTTAAATGTAAATATTTTGTTTGTTTGTTTTAAAATGTAAATATTTTCATATAGACTAGACTATAGACTAGACTATAGACTAGACTATAGACTAGACAATAGACTAGACTATAGACTAGACAATAGACTAGACTATAGACTAGACTATAGACTAGACTATAGACTAGACTATAGACTAGACTATAGACTAGACTATAGACTAGACTATAGACTAGACTATAGACTAGACTATAGACTAGACTATAGACTAGACTATAGACTAGACTATAGACTAGACTATAGACTAGACTATAGACTAGACTATAGACTAGACTATAGACTAGACTTTAGACTAGACTATAGACTAGACTATAGACTAGACTATAGACTAGACTATAGACTAGACTATAGACTAGACTATAGACTAGACTATAGACTAGACTATAGACTAGACTATAGACTAGACTATAGACTAGACTATAGACTAGACTATAGACTAGACTATAGACTAGACTATAGACTAGACTATAGACTAGACTATAGACTAGACTATAGACTAGACTATAGACTAGACTATAGACTAGACTATAGACTAGACTATAGACTAGACTAGACTAGACTATAGACTAGACTATAGACTAGACTATAGACTAGACTATAGACTAGACTATAGACTAGACTATAGACTAGACTATAGACTAGACTATAGACTAGACTATAGACTAGACTATAGACTAGACTATACACTAAACTATAAACTAAACTAGAGACTAGTCTACAGACTGCACTAGAGACTTGACTATAGACTACATTTTATACTGGACTATAGACTGGACTATATCTAGTGATTCGACTATAGTTTTAACTGTAGTCCTTAATGTAGTCCAGACATTTTAGTGTAAACCATAGACTAAACAATATATAGTCTGTACTATAGTCCAGACTGTGTACTGCACTTTATTTAAGACTGTTGTCTAGATAATAATACAGTCAGACGGACGGACGGACGGACATAGCTTAATCGACTCAGAAAACGATTCTAAGCCGATTGGTATACTTTAAGGTGGGTCTAGGACGAATATTTTTGTATGTTACAAACATCAGCACAAATCCCCACTAAAGTGGTGTAGGGTATAAAAATAAATTTACTGCAACGGATTATTTTTTTATTAAAAAATGATAATTGCACTATATTATGATGCAATAATTTTGTCTGAATGTAAATAATAATCTATTCTCAGTTTTTTTCCTAAACATTCTAGAGAAGAAGCGTGGACATTGGACATTGATCGCTTGAACCCTTACTGTTGCAGTGAAAAAGTTATCCGCATCTTTATATGCGCCTTTATTATTCTGAAATTTGCTAAAACGTATCCCTCAGGGATACGACGTCTTTATTGAGAACACCAGTACCCTATTGGGAAATAGGGATAATGGGATACGACGATTTTATTGAGAACTCCTGCATTTAATTGCCTCTTGTGTAAATCGCGGACAGATCCTGTTGTGGGTCCCACGGGGAAATGGATCAATTATGCAATGTAAAACGGTTTACGCACATACCTGTAAGTTGGCTACAAAAACGTTACTATAACATTTTAGTGATGTTCAGTTCTAGAACTGTACCATCCTCGGAGAATGGTACCCCACTTCGACCAGAAGATGTTTTTAAAGTACCATGATGTAGTATTAATAAAGTTTAAACATTTAAATTAATTGCATTTACTTTTTTCTCATACATAAACTTATAATTTTACAGCAGTTTTTATAATAGCGGTAAATACTCTATGTTACCACATGTCTACAAATAGTTTACGAAATATTCAAAATGTTATAGTCTGGCATCTTTACTTTCATTTTGTTTATTTACATTTGCTGAAGTTGTTGAAAGCGGTGCAAAAGATTTTTTCAGATTTTATTTTAAAAAATAAACAAAATGCGTACATGTTTTGTACCCTTTTGTGATAGTAAAAATAAGGATCAACCTAATAGAACCATGTTTACAGTGCCTAAGGTAAGTATTAGATATAAAGAGCAATTTAAAAAGAAAATAATTGTAAAAATCTCTTTCATAAAGGAACCCGTACTATTTGCACAATGGGCAGACCTTTTACCAAAAGTACGTACTTTAAGATCTATTGATAGAGTATGCTATTTGCATTTTCGCCCAGAAGATGTTGTCTATACATTTGATCATTGCATCAATGGTCAAATATTTAAAATACATAGAGATAGACCTAGATTAAAGCCGGATGCCTTGCCATGTTTGGAATTGACCACCAAAGAGGAACTGGTAAGTTGTTTTGATTGTTTTTTTAAGTAGTATGGATTATGAAAGGAAGATTTTGTGATTATTATCGGATTAATGTATATGTTCATAGGATTAGTTTGAAAAATGTCAATGATTTTCGTTTCAAAACCTAACATATGAAAGCGTAAGTTAAGTTAAGTTTATTAGAGTCTTTTAAATATTCATACATATAGAAGTTACAACAGATCTGATATAAAGAAAACTTAAAATTATGTTTTGTTTTAATACAAAATATTGTTTACAGCAATAAGCTTGTCAGTTTATGCAAATGATTAATAATATATGTATGTTGTGCTCCCGGCACAACATAATTTGAAAATTTAATTAATGGTGTATTTAAAACTAAACTTAAAGCTACAGTAGTAAAAAAACAAAAAAATCAGCCTCTATCAAACTATGAAAGCGTAAATATCCTTTAAATACCCCGATAGGTTAAATTTTGATATAATTATAAAGACTTCAAATGCGACAGCGTAATCTATTTTTTTTTTGTTATGCCAGGGAATGTCAAAAATTTGTTCCATAAAGTTTGCTCAGACGTATGTATGGCAAATGACCTTGACCACTAACTATTCCCTTAAGGGATATTCTAAGTTTATTAAGACAAAAAACCCAACTTAAACTAAAAGGGGATAAGAAAAACAACATTAGTTTTAGAATCTGAATCGATTTTGATTTTTAGGTTTCTTAAATGCAAACCACCATTTCATTCTATAAATCTATTAACCAAGAAAGTAAGAAAAATAAATTAATCCTAGAAAAAAACTAAGTAAAATTTCTAAGCCGATTAGTATCGTAAGTTTATGAACTCCAGAACACTTCACGTCATACTTAACTATTGTATTTTAGCTTTCGTACAAAGTAAAAAATCGACTACCGACAAACCCTAAAGTAATAAAAGTAAGTGAAAATACGATAGCAGATCAAATTTATGATCTTATTACGGAGGAACAGTCACCAACAAATGAACCCAAATTTAACACCGAAGAAATTGATGAAATTCCACAACCGTTAGAAGACAACAACTGTAGCATTATAGTAAATTTCGAAGAACATAGCGAAAATATTACGAATCAAGAACCATTAACAAATGATGAACAGGAGAATCAAATAATTGCTGATTTAATTACAGAAGAAACTAACTACGAATGTGAGGAAACCCTTAACGCTACCAAACAACATTTAGCTTTAAATAAAATACTGGATTTATTTAATTTACTCTATGACAATGTGTATGAAGTTATAGCGCCCAATACTCTCTGGGGTATACACCGCTGTCCCAATCGTTCGCTCATATGTTTTACTTATATGGATGTAATGAAATTGCAAGTTAGCAAAATGATTTCTATAACACCCGATGGTTTAGTGCAATTGATTTTCCATAGTAGTATAATTAAAACTCTCCAGTTGGTGCAGGATATTGATGATTTCGACAGTATGTCGGTGTTATTAAATCAAGTGGATATGTGGCGTTTGTGTTTTGGTAAGCTAACGGATTCGAATGCAGAATGTGAAATTATTGTGGAGCCAAACGATGACAACAGTTGGAGTACTGATGAGAATGATCAGGTATTTTTGTGTAAACAATGTTTGCAAGCGAGCAAAGATGATATCGAGATGAATTTATAATAAATTGGAAGATTAAGGAAATATATTAAAATTGTTGTTTTAATTAAAAAAAGTTTATAATAATGAAAATTTATGTGAAAAATTTGAAATTTTAGTGAAAATTCGAAATTTAAATGAATATTCGAATATTTCAGTGAAAATTCAAAATTTTAGTAAAAATTAAAAATTTTTGTCAAAATTAGAAATTTTAGTAAAAATTAAAAATTTTTGTCAAAATTAGAAATTTTTGTAAAAATTAGAAATTTTTGTAAAAATTCAAAACTTTTGTGAAAATTAGAAATTTTTGTAAAAATTCAAAATTTTTGTGAAAATTCGAAATTCAAATGTAAATTTTATGAAAAACCATGATACAACCATTATAGTTATATTATGATGAAAAACTATTCCTTATATTTGATCTGTCTTTTTGTAAAGAGAACTTCGAAAAATAGTTTATTGAATTGAAAATATAAACAAATATTCGTTTGGTTATCGTATTCAGGAAAGAAATATATGTAGACAATTTTAGACAAAAGATGAGTTTTGCATCACTGTTTAAGTGTGTTTCTCATTACATCCATTTAGATGTGTTCAAAATCGCAATAACACGTTCTAATTAAACGATCACACGTTCAGGCAGATCAAAATAATAGGCCCTACTCTGGAATCTTTCTCAATCCACACAAAAAGCAGAATAATCACATAAAAGATATGCTACCGTTTTCTCCTCATCTTAATTCTGACAGATCCTACAGAAGTCTTCTTATGGGAGCCCTACCCGACCATCAATGACGAATAATGACTGATCTCAAGCTACTTAACTGAGACCTTTGTAGACCTATAAGATTCCACTCTGGCCAATTCATCAGCAATACTATTGTTAGAGTTATTCCCTTGTCCATTTACCTATATAAGAGTTCTAATCAAATGGCTCTCATTTAGAGACGCCCGGCATTCGTAAACTAATATATCCGATAGTACTTCATCCTGTTTACCGCCTTTTTAATGGCGGATATTTCAGCTTAAAGTATACATATACTACAATCATCATTGAGTCTATAAGAGATCTTTGTCCCAGATCCAATTCCATGAAACTTTATTGAAATAAAACGAATTAAAATTAATTTTTCTTTTATTTTCTTAATTTATTTTAAAATTATTATAAAATTTATTTATGTATAATATTCTTCTTATTTATTTAATTTTAATTTAATAATTGTTTCTTTTTTTAATTTTATTTTTGCGAAATACGCTCTTTAATCATTTTATTCATGTATAAAATAACAAAAACAAATAAATTTAAACAAATTATAAATATTAATAAATAATAATAGTCAATAATAGTAATAAAAATGTTAAACATAAATTACAAAAATGTTCATCATATTATGAATGTAGATATATTGGCATTTATTTAAAATCTAAATGAGGAGATCCATTCACATCACAGTCATCGATTTAATATTCTATTTAATGTTTTTTTTTTTTGGTTTTGTTTTTGTCAATTTTATATATTACATAGTTCTTCATTTTAGGTTTTCGTTAACGAAATAACAATGTCTAAATTTTAGCTTCTTATGTGGTTTACTACATGTTTTATGTTGTAGGTAATATTCGTCTTAATGTTTGTTGTAAATGCAAGTGTTTTTATTTAATTATTATTATTATTTTTTTGGTGTAGGGTATATAATGGAGGGGTGTTTTTAATGCACAATTTTTATTTTTTGCTTATGTTTTATATGACATAAATTGCGGATGGCTTTATCACTTGATCAACAAATTCATCACTACTTATTTGCTAAACAATTTCTACTATTGTATACTTAAAACTAAAATAGTATCATCTGTGTTGTGGTATTTTTGTTTATATGTATGTATGTTTGTTTGTGTATAAACTACTTACTAATATAACTAATAAATCGAATTGAGTCATTATTATTTATTATATTTTAATTTAGTTAAATTATTTGGTTGTATACTTTCTACTCTCTATTACAAAGTACAAACAATTGTTTTATATTCTTTGTACTTATACTTTTTTAAATATTTATAAATATAACTAGAACTATTATTTTATCGTTATTTATCGTGTAACAAACAATCTACTATAATTTTTTTTTTAAATTTACTTATAATTCGTTTAAGGTTCATTCATTACAAATATGTTAACATTTTTATAGGATTTTTTTTTTGTTTTATTTCGAATGTTTACTTGAAAGAATATTGCATTAGGAAGAGAACTTTGATTAGGAAGAGAAAATATCTGTTATCAAAAGAACGGCAAACTGGCTGAGGTATTATCACATACATATCTGAAGGTCAGCAAAGCCGCGTTTAGAAATCTAGCGGGTGTCTTTACGACATCTAGGTTAACCGAAGAATGCCGTGTATCTCTGAAAGAGATTGTGAAATATTGCAGAATAACGCTAATATGTGTCCCTGGACATAACAATTGTCAGGGAAACTGTATAGCTGGCGAACACTTCAGGAATGTTGTGATGAGGGGGCGGGGTGATGAAATCGACAGATGACCTCTGTATGATGCCCTTAGGTAAAGTTTACTGTTAATCTTTCGTAGAGAGCACATACGACACTGTCATATTAGCAATCATGTTAGGAGAATGGTTCACGGATACAATGACTACTGCAGAAGTTGTCATAATGAGGCGGAAGAAGAGACTATATCTCTGCTACGGTCCAATATTCATTGAGAACAAAGAACATTTTTGGTTCTGATATTCTCTCATCTATGGATGAGCTATCTGGGATGAATCTTAGAACATCCTAAATTTCCTTAATCGAACCGGCTGTTTCAACACTGAAACTAGTGAGTAACACTATAAAGAACTCTTACGACCACTAGGGCATCACAACTAGACCACAATCTGGCGGACCCACCTGAGCCCTTTATACCTAAACATAAACCTTGTAACAATTTTGCCAACCCTGCGTTATACAGTTTTTATATTAATAGAGGGAATGTCTATTATGTCAGGTTCTTCGGAGATCTGTTTACTTTCACTACTTTACCACAGAGCTGCATATCTACTTCTTTATTTCAATTCTAAGAGTAAAATACCCATGTAACCTGAATGCATCTGACTGAGTTTTTAGGAAAGTAAAGCGAAATCCCACATGCTTGCCCCGTGACTCTCAGATATCAGACTGTCTAAAACAACTCGTTATTTCTGGCTGGCATCTAGGTTAATGAATGCTGGGTATTTCTAAAAGAGATATCGAGTCCAAGATAACGTCGCTGGACACAACAACAGTTACCTTGAACTGTATAACTGATGATTTGGCTAAGATTAGAGGAAATGTATATATTTACTAACATCCCGCTTACAATTTGTCGGTCACTTATTCAAAATTGACTGAATGGGCACAATCCAGATGGTTTAATGAAACCACCTGTCAAACCTCTAGGTCTACTTGACAAATGTTAAGCTCCCCTAGTGAACAGATACTAATGCTATTGTAATTGCTGATAAATTACAGGACACTGTGTCATAAGCACTCATGTCTGAAGACTAGGTCTTGAATAACATAATGACGATTGCAGAAACTGTCATAATGATGAAGAGCATAGTATCTTATCCACTCTACTTTTACCTGTACTACGGTACTCCATTTCTTTCAAGAGTGAAAAAAACTTAAAGTTCTTATCAAAATTATCCGCCACAAACCCTTCAAGTAAACACTCTACTCTATTGTACTAATTGCATTAAACACTACTTTCGTTAGGTGTTCGGGATCTTGGACTAGGACTAGAAGAACCATTTGCAATTGTTAATTCAGGTATATTTGTGGTGGTATTGTTGTTATTATTATTAGTATTAGTTGTAGTATTCGTAGTTGTAGTATAAAGTTTAACATTATCAACCCTGGCCGTTGCGTACAGCGGTTGTGATGACATGGCGGAAGGATATATACAGTTTTTTCTTTTGCCACGACTCATTGTGGACACTGGTGAACTGAAAGCGACTTTCGATATTTGCTGTAATGCTGTCGAATGATCTTGATCGTTGCTCAACGGCGAATAGTGTTTCGCATACAATTCCGTTGTATTTGTAAATGCATCCTGGTGTAGAGGAAAATGCGATTCTAAAACACCCTCTGGCATAATGAGAGGATTTGAATTAGTTTTCGCACTCATACAATCGATCGATGAATTTGCACTATAAAATGTGGTATCTTGTGAACCCGTATTGGGGTTGTTTAATTGATTGCTACAGCTGCAATGTTTATTGCAACACTTGGCACATGAATTGTTATCAGTATGAGCCGTTACATTGTCGTTGTCATTTATAATGTTGCTATCGCTAAAGGTGAGTTTGCGTACAACACTACCCTCGTTTTGTTGTTTATTCGTTGAGGCCACAACATCGTCTAATTGATCGGCTGATTTAGAATTTTGTCTACGATGGCAATGTATGGAGGAAGAATTTTTAACTTTAGCTAAAGTATGATCACCACCATTTGTGTTTGTGGTGGTGGTGGTAGTGGTTTTGGAGACCCTTTTATAACTATTAGCTGAGGCAAAACTATCTTCCTCCTCGCTGGAATCTTGTATGGCTGGTGGAAATAAAGGAGGTGGTACAATTACCCGGCCCATACGTTTATATTGGTCTATATTACGACTATCTTCGGCACAACTGGACAGATTTTCTATAAATTTGGGTGCTCTCCTTAAAACTGTGGGCGTGTGTAATTGTGATTCGAAAACATCATTAATATCGACTACATTGTTATTGGTGACATTGTGCAAATAATGTTCAATGCTAGAGGTTAGACCATTCCGTACACTATTACGTGATGATATACTTGATATTTCGGATAGGGTCTCTGGACTGGCTAGAGGTGCTAAACCCAACCATTCATCTGTTTCGGCACCGTTTGTAACATCAGAAGCTCTTCTTAGTGGTGGAATGGGTAAAGATTTCGGTTTCTTATCTATTTTGGCTGAATGTTGACGTTTCAGATTCCTCAACGGCGAAGGAGTATCCTCAAATGCCACACACTTAGTTTTGGGCGGTTGTAACACCAACTCCACTTGTTCCACTTTAACCACTTCTGTACTCATCTTAATAGGACTCTTGCGTGTTACCGTAGTAATACTATTCTCCATTGCACTTGATATGTCGTACTGTATACAGCTGATTTGAGAGCGACTTAAAATACTACCCGCCAACGAAGAGGCCTTACTGGAACTTATACTGTCGGGAAAGTGGGCATGTTTATGAGTCATCTGAGGACTATGAAGATTTGTAAATGATGTTTCAAGACATACTCTTGGCTGCTGTTGATGCAGCTGTGTGATAGATGAAGTCGTGGGTGTTTGTACATCAGCTTGACTTAAACTTGGCCTTGAATCTAAACTGCCATAGGCACCATTCGATTCGGAACCCATATGATTTGAATTGTGTTGATGTTGGTGATGATGTGTTTGATGTAGTTCCATGTTTGAACAATTATAATAACTGTAGACATCTTGATTGCTGCGATACAAATCATTCGATGTTGTGGAGAATGCATTCGATGCCTGGCGATGTGGTTTGCGAGGTCCACTAGTTGTAACAACCTGGAAAAAGGTAGAGGGCATTTGTTAAAGTAGATATTAGTCACAAATATGAGGAGAGTGATCGCTGGGAAGTGAAAGACATTTGATAAGATGTGGAAAGTGAAATTCTTGATACCGCATATTCACAAAAGTACATATATTAAAATTGGATTTTTCAAAAGTTCTCAATATTAAAATTTCAATCGCGCTTTTTTGCAAGTAACAGAATCCATCATTGAATCTTTCTACAGTGATATAATAAGTTGAGTATTCCAAGGTTTCAAAATATTTTTAAAAATCTTTCTGTTCCTTTGTAAAGTATGAATTCTGATGGATTTTAACACGATTTCTTAGAGTTAATATTAACGTTTCTTGTAAACATGGATCTCGTCAATGAACTTGAAGATTTATTCAAGGATATGACATTTAAAGCGCTCTAAATCAATCTCGCTTTCTTTCCACATTAACCAAAAAATTTCTCCGTGTTAAGCTTTTAATAATGCAGAACATACATACTATCGTTGATTAGATCCCGTCATAGGACTTGAAGACTATTTCAAGGGTATCGTAAGACTTCGTTCTATTTTTGAATCATTCTAGAATGTTTTTTAAGTTAAGCTTTCAATCCCAATTTTGTAAAAGTTCTTATCAATGGGGTATCTTAAAACTATAACAAGATTAATTTAAAGCTATCAGAAAGTATTTCTCTTTTTCAAAGCCCTTTTTAAAAGCTCTCTCTATATTAAGATTTAAATTCCGCTTCTTTGCAGAGCATGAATCTTTCAGGATCTTGGCATGATATTAAACTTTCTCTGTAATCAGAAAAGTTGTGTAGATGGAATCTCTTCAAGATCAAGTGAAAGGTATCCCCTATATACTATAGCTTTCAGTTCTTGATCTTTGAATTCAATGATCTTGTATTAGAAAAATGTCTAAAACTTGAAGATTTTTCAAAATATCTTATTAAAGTTTTTTGAGATACATAATAAAATGAACAAGACACGTTCCTGAGCAAATAATAAAAAACAAATTTAAGCAATCAGAAGAAAAAATCAAAAAATAAAATGTGCAAATATGAAAATTATAATAAAAAATAATATTTATTATCAGACTTTTTCTTTTTTTTTTTCACTGTCTTAAACTATGACAATAACAAATATAAATGTAATCTTCAATTAACAACTAAATATAAATGAGAAATTTTCATAAAAAAAAATAATTATAATAAAAAATGTAAAGCAATTCAATAAATAATTAAAATTAAGAGATACATTACAAGTAATTAAGTAATTAAATAATAAATATAAATACATTAAGTAAATTAATTTATACGAAATATATGGTAAAATGTTTAAGTTTCAAACGATTAAAGCAATTTTTAATAGTCCACATTTTCTCTTAAGCGGCTTTAAGCTGCATTAAACTGACACTACATGTGAACATTGAAATTGTATGAACTATTCATGGAGGTATTGTCATCGGCAGCATCTGAAATTACCTTTTTTAGGGCAGCCAATACTTTGTCCGGCATATGATCTTGCAGCATAACCGGTGATATAAGAACCTCATCGAAATCAATGCTGTCGGCCCAAATAGCCTGATAAACTGGTTCACGACTTTTTAAAACATTTCTAGAAAGGAAAACAAAAAAATGAAATTATAAACATTATTATACATTTTTAGTTAAAGTTTCTTTTTAACACAAATTTAACACACACACATATATAAACACAATCATGCAGACATTGAAAAATTATAATTTTTATTAACCCATTAAAAATAATATGGTAATCGTAATATGGCCAACAAAGCTTGTCAGTGAAATTTATTTTGTATCCTTCTACCAACATGAAATAGGATGTAAATTTGTTTAGAATATATTATATTTAAGTAAGAGTTAATGAAAGCTAAGTACTGAGAGATCTGGTCAAAATATGTGAAAGATCTTATCAAACTTCCTTCACATTGAGCTTTCAATTCTCAGTGCAAATCTGATCGGAATTTCTCTAGTATATATTTAAATGAAGGTTTCGATTGAATGCTAAATGTAAAGAGTTTTCAGAATCTTTAAAAAAGCTTTAATGTTATAATTTTATTCCTTTTGCGGGATTTTGACACGATCTCTCTTATACAAATAAAGCTGTGAATAAACAGCATCTCAATGAAGTTTTGATCTTTTCCGCTAGATGGTGTCATCGCCGTCACTGCTTTATAGATGGTTTTATTGGTTTATTTGAAATGATCTCTGAAAGTTTTTATCGAACTATGAGTATGAGTTGTGAAGATAGAATACCGTTAGTGGGCTTTTAAGATTAATTTTAAAATATCCTATCCTTTTCAAATCTTTCTAAAATACTCCTTATATCAAGCATTCGATTTTATTCAGCTTTTAAGTAAGTTTTACGGGCCCCAGTGAGAACGTGTTGTTTCAGTTAGGGCTTTTAAGAAGAATTCATTTCGATGACTTGATAAAGTTGGACATTCAAATTAGTTAAATTTTAAGACTATAGATTAGACTATAGGCTAGACTACAGACTAAACTACAGAATAGACTGTAAACAAGACTATAGACTAAACTATAGTCTATACTGTAGACTAGACTATATATTTGACTATAGACTAGACTATAGACTAGACTATAGACTAGACTATAGACTAAACTATAGACTAAACTATAGACTAGACTATAGACTAGACTATGAACTAATGATCTATTGACTATTTATTAATAGTTTAAAACATCTAGACTAGACTATAGAGTAGACTATAGACTAGACTATAGACTAGACTATAGACTAGACTATAGACTAGACTATAGACTAGACTATAGACTAGACTATAGACTAGACTACAGACTAGACTATAGACTAGACTATAGACTAGACTATAGACTAGACTATAGACTAGACTATAGACTAGACTATAGACTAGACTATAGACTAGACTATAGACTAGACTATAGACTAGACTATAGACTAGACTATAGACTAGACTATAGACTAGACTATAGACTAGACTATAGACTAGACTATAGACTAGACTATAGACTAGACTATAGACTAGACTATAGACTAGACTATAGACTAGGCTATAGACTTGACTATGAACTAATGATCTATTGACTATTTATTAAAAGTTTAAAACTTCTAGAAAGAAGGGATCTCACACAATACACAAATTGTACGCAATATCGGCCCAAAAGAGGATTTAACTTGAATTGAATATTTACATCAACAAGGTGACTTTGTGAAATCTTTAGTATACGACTATAAGATGCAAACGTTTGACTTTGTGAAATTGGTAGTACACGACTTTAAGTTGAAAACGTTTGACGACACGAAAGATAAGATTCCTGGGTTAATTAAATGGTGATCAAATTATCTTTCAAATAACTGTTAGTCCTTTATTAAGAGTCAATTCCCCACTCTATTTGATTGTAATAGTTTAATTTCTTCTAAACTAAATTTCTATAGAATCCCTTATTATTCGGATATAATAAAGTTTTAACAATTTCTTATCTATACTAAAATTTTGTACATGCATTTAAAACCCAATGAGTTTTTGATTCCGTTCTAGTCTAAATATGTATATAATTCATGCAATTTACGTTATCACGATTTTATCCACGATTTTCATTTAAGGGTAAATTATTATTATTATTACGTTTATAAAATGAGTACGAAAAAAAAAAACAGTAAGAATGTACAATACAATAATATGGTAAATGGGTATTTATTGTATGTATAGTAAGTATAGCAGTAGTTTAACGTATTATCCTACCTCCAACCTCTGTCATATTTTTTCCTGTAATTAAATTATTTAGCAATTTTAATTTGTATGGCATAATATAATATTTTAAATAAATAGAGGCAAATAAAAAAGATTTATTGACTTTTTTCCATAAAAAAGCATTTAATTGATTTAAAGAAATTTAAAGAAAAGTGTCGAATTTTGTTACAAGTTAAACAAAATTGCAAATACTTACTCATCTGCTCGGGGATGATGCCGTACTATGTGTATTATACGTCCCGGCGGATACAGGGGTTGATGTATTGTTAAAGCTATGGTACTATCTGTGGGATGAGTACTAGCTGAACGTGCTGAATCGCGTTCCTGTAAAGAGTATTGTATTAATACTTAACGAACTATATTCGCAATCGATTAAAACTGAACGATTACTGCATTCAAAATTTTGATAATTTGATCAATATTCGATCACGAATGATACTATATTGTTCTCAAGTAAATTTACTTTTTAAAAAAGTATTTACCTCTTGATATTTATTAATATGAGTATCTTTAACAGACATTTCTACCACGGACTTAGGTTCAGGTCCACAACAACAACATATCATTGAGCATGATATAGTTTTCCACTGCAATAAAATGAAATATTTTTTTTTGTCAATTTGTTCATTATAAAGTATCCTTTAAAATATACTTACCTTAGGATCTATACTACGTTGTATGGCATTTATGAGATCAGCTCTTAGAGCTTCCATTTGGTATAAACCAATGCGAGGTACAACATCTTTACCCAAAACAACTGAAGTTATAAATTTTTTTGAATACTCTACAGCTGGCATACTGCAAAATAGATACAAATTAGGAAAATGATTAGCAGAAATATAAATTACACGTGATTTTTTTTTAGAAAAAAAAAACGAAATTTTTTGTCATTATTTTTATAAATCTATAAAATGTTTATTGTTTTTTAGTTCCTCGCCAAAATAATATTGAAAATAATTGATTGAATATTATAAATCTTATCTTATCTGTTCTGGCAATCGGGGTTAATGCCTGTCAGCCAAAAATTTTTATAACGCAAACTATTTGTTGTTGATTTTCTATATGTTTTAACTATTAATAAAACACGATAACACTTTTAGATAATAAGAGAATTCTGGTAAATGCAATTTGCTTTGCAAGCTAAATGTCTAGCGTTAATCGGGAAATATTAAGAAAAAGCAAATTTTTTACAATACTTACTCCCTTTAATATCCTTTATCATTATTAATTAATTATCCTCTAACATAATAACTCATACCTTAGTAAACCACCTGGCGGAGAATATGCAAAACACTGTAATGTTGGATAGTCGGCCTTCATTAATATGGCCAATATGGCCGCTGTGCCGGCACCCAACGAATGACCCACTAATACTAAACCGAACGTATGTGTATTACGTTCTAAATTCTTGTTGAGAGCATTCCGTATGATATTTTCCTCTTCTAATTTATTACGTATATAAATTGCCGCTTGAACCATTCCCTTATGACCCAACCAATCGTCACGAGGTGGATTCAAAGGTAACACTTCAGCTTCGGCATTTAGATCCGTTAGGATATCTTTCATACTCAAGGTACCACGTATGCTGACAACAATTTTCTTTTGGGTATAATCGATGGCAACGAAAAATGGTGTTTCGCCCACATCCACATGATAGGTGACATAGACGATTTCAATATCGCCCACTTGTAGGGTTTTCTTGAGAGCAGCATAATTACAATAGCAACAATTGTCCTGGATAATTTCCGCTTCATTGGTGGGATTAAGACAACAACCAAAGCATCTAAAATTTAGAATAATTAATAAAAAAGGCTTTTCGTAATAAAATTAACAATTACTCACTTCAATTCCGGTATTAAATTAAACATATTTGAACGATTTACTATAAAGTACATGGGCCAACCATAAGCACCCTGGGCAAAATACATATAATGTATAACCGTTTGAAAGAAATCATAATTCTTCGCATCATTTAAAGCCAAAAACTGAGTCCTCTCTGTTATGGGTACACCGCTTAGAAATTCATAGGTACCATTTTTTCGTTGTCTTACTACAGCTTCACGTTCTAAACGTTGAAATTTGCGCAACAGCACTAAACCAGCCACAACATCGGAGGGCACTACATCGAGCTCACGAAAGAAGTCACTTAATAAACGTGCTATATCGGTGAAAGAGTTACGATTACGTTCGGAAGAACCAATGCAGCAGAAAAGCAAACGACAACGATGATCCCAACTGTCCTGATAGGCACGAATTACTTTTCTATAAAGAACAATAGATAGATAGATAGATAGATAGATAGATAGATAGATAGATAGATAGATAGATAGATAGATAGATAGATAGATAGATAGATAGATAGATAGATAGATAGATAGATAGATAGATAGATAGATAGATAGATAGATAGATAGATAGATAGATAGATAGATAGATAGATAGATAGATAGATAGATAGATAGATAGATAGATAGATAGATAGATAGATAGATAGATAGATAGATAGATAGATAGATAGATAGATAGATAGATAGATAGATAGATAGATAGATAGATAGATAGATAGATAGATAGATAGATAGATAGATAGATAGATAGATAGATAGATACATACATACATACATACATAGATAGATAGATAGATAGATATATAGATAGATAGATAGATAGATAGATAGATAGATAGATAGATAGATAGATAGATAGATAGATAGATAGATAGATAGATAGATAGATAGATAGATAGATAGATAGATAGATAGTTCGTTAACTTAGAATCTTACCTTTGACGCCAATTGCGATTCATGCTATTACTGCGTTTGTAATTGAAACGTGACTCCGTCTCTCGCATTGATCTCTGATATTTCTTCATTTTAACCCAAGAACGGCCAGCTGTATCAAAGGTACACCATATGGTCGCCATTGTAACAAATACCAAAGCCCAGTTTGAGACAATAATTGCTAAATAAACAAAAAACAAACAGTGAAAAATACAAAATAAAATTAAGTGAGAAATTTACAACATAATGTTAATTGCCTTTGAAATCAATAAACATCAACATAAACTTACCAAAAAATATTCTCTTTTCCGTACTAACAACAGTTGATTCTAAATAATATTTTGTTAGCCATAGTGTTCCCATAATTAACCAGGCAATATCGAATAACATTACCACTATAAGAGAAAAAACAAACAGTAACTTAATATTGTTTACAGAATATAAAGACAAAATTTCTAAACTATTACCAGTTTTTATATAAATCCATATATTTATTGGTGCCCTGACATCAGAGTCCAATATACTGCCACGCATTGAAATAATACATATTCCTATTTCTATAAATAATGAAACTGCAATAATGGAAATATAAAAAAATAAATTTATTGTTTTAGTGGTTTTGCGGTTGAAAAATAAAAGAATATATATTTTTATTAAGTGTCTAAATATACTATTTGCTAGACTTACTACTTAATATAGCTAAATAACCAATTTGATGATAAAAAAGTAATTTAACATCTGTTATACTGGTATCGTAATCAAAAATGGCCAATGATACAATTACAGTTATCACACTGTTCGCAATCAATGTCATAGAAAAAAAGAAAGAAAGACATTTTATTAAAACGTTTATCAATTGCAGATTTTTAAATTTTGCTAAAATTTACCATAAAAAATGTATGGTTACTAGAAATGCTCCAGGCACCACTAGATCATCTGAGCCTACCGACCAGCGTCTTCTAAAAACAACAAGTCCGGGCATCTGGAAAATAGAAGAAATTGTATAGATATTTTAAAACTTTTTTCCAGGCGGAATGTTACTTTTAAATAAGAAAAAAACGCCAATTATATTAAAAACTGTTTTGGAGTGTTATTACTTATCTACTCATGATTTATATAGTATTTAACATTCTCTAATATGTATTTCCCCCCTGGTTGGCAAAATTAACTAATCTATTATTTGACAAAATCTCGAATTTCTTATCATAATCTATTAAAATCTATAATAACAAACATTAAATTGTATTAATTGAAATATTTGTTTAAAAATGTATGTATTAACTAAACTAAAAAGATCAATGTATTGAAAGATCGCTCAGTTGAACGTTTTAAGAGGAATAAACTTTACAATATTGCTTTGACTATAGATCAGTCTATAGTCTTGACTACAGATCAGACTATAGTCTTGACTATAGATCAGACTATAGATCAGCCTATAGATTAGTCTATAGTCTTGACTGCAGATCAGTCTATAGTCTTGACTATAGATCAGTCTATAGTCTTGACTATAGATCAGTCTGTAGTGTTGACTACAAATCAGTCTATAGTCTTGACTATAGATCAGTCTATAGTCTTGATTATAGATCAATATATAGTCTTGACTATAGACCAATCTATAGTCTTGCTACAGATCAGACTATAGTCATGACTATAGACTATAGTTTTAATTTTAGACCAGTCTATAATCTTGAACATAGTTCAGTTTATAATCTTGAATTTAAATCATTCTTGACCATAGATTAGTCTTGACTACAGATCAGTCTTTAGTCTTCACTACAGATCAGACTTTAGTCTTGACTATAGATCGGACTATAGATCAGCCTATAGATCAGTCTATAGTCTGGACTACAGATCAGTCTATAGTCTTGACTATAGATCAGTCTATAGTCTTGACTATATTTCAGTCTATAGTCTTGACTATAGATCAATCTATAGTCTTGACTATAGATCAATCTATAGTCTTGACTATAGATCAATCTATAGTCTTGCTACAGATCAGACTATAGTTTTAAATTTAGACCAGTCTATAATCTTGAACATAGTTCAGTCTATAATCTTGAATTTAAATCATTCTTGACCATAGATTAGTCTATAATCTTGACACTCTTTGTATTTTTCACTTCACTTTGTATTTTTACATATAGATCAGTCTATAGTATTGAATAAAGATAAGTCTATAGATTTGACTATAGATCAGTTTATAGTTTTGACTATAAATCAGTCTATAGTCTTGACTATAGACTTTGTATTCTTGCATAACGATCAGTCTATAGTCTTGATTATAGATTAGTCTATAGTTTTGACTATAGATCAGTCTATAGTCTTGACTATAGATCAGTTTATAGTCTTGACTACATTCTATAGACTAGACTATATATGTATCAGTATATAGTCTTTCTGTATCTGTCTATAGTAGTATAGATTAGTCTATAGTCTTCACTATAGATCAGTATATAGTTTTCACTATAGATCAGTCAATTGTTTAAGCTAGAAATCAGTCAATTACGAAACAAATTTCCTCAACATTTCTAAGTTATCTTCATCAAACATCAATTTTATATCCGGTTCATAAAAGGTCAAAATTCTGCTACTTTTACTAGATGAATTCATAAAAGAATTTTGTTTAAATGACTCAATGTTATACAAATTAAACGATTCACATGTTTGGCATAAATTCACACACGACAATTATCAAAGAATAAATCAAAAACAAACAAAATTGAAATAATTAATTGTTTCTGCGTATTCTTTTAAATGATTTCCATTAAACGATTAGGTCAACGAAGAAGGTTAATCAATTTCATTAAAAAATTGAGTTTGTGATTCATTTATATGTGTTTAGAAGATTATTAAAAAAAAATATTTTTAAATACGTAATTTTGAAAGTACAAAAGATTTGTTTATATTTCTAATACATTAAACATGCGATAATTCATTCTATTTGTTAAGCGTGAAAATATTTATTCACTTTTGCTAATGAAATAATAATTACAGAGTTTTAAAAGTTTTTTTGTAAGCTACAAATATTGAAACAAACATAGGGCTTATCAAAAGTCTGACTATGTTCGACGCAATATGAAGATTATATTTTATTTAATAAATTTTCTAGTTACCCTCGTTAAATTTAATTTTCCTCTTATTTTCTGCATTCTTTTAAAATGTTGTGCTTAGCATAACAATAGTGTGTAGTTTTTCAGTTTATTTCTAATAAGGATTTATCATAATAAAAAGAAAAACTATGCAAAATAAAGTTAATCAAAAGCAAGAAGACGTGACCATACCGTTATCTGCATTTTACACTAAAATGTATAAATGCAGGTGTTTTTTTTTTTTTTTCGTTGGCTTTATGAAACATTTTATTTATCTTTTGAAAAATAACAATAAAAAAAACTAAAAGAAAAATTTGTGAAAGTTTGCTGTAGTCTTTGTTGTTATTGATCAAACTAGATAGAAGTTTAAATAAATCTTTAAGATTTAAAAATTTGAAAAATATATAAGAAGTAGATAGAAGATAGAGGACTAGTTTTAAAGTATGGCTAATAGTCCTTATAAGTTATATTACGAGAATGTACAGAATTCGTAGAGTGACTAGTTCCGATTTTGCGAAATTTACACTCAAATGCCCGAGGCGGGTATATTGATTTTTCATGAACCAAAACCTATCCATAAAATTTCATAAGAATTGGTTTATTGTTGACCCTACTCTCACATAACTCCTCATTCCGTTTGTGTACGCCGGGTTTTTATTACATTCTTCTATTGATGCAGATCAAAATCGGTTCACATTTGACCCCATATAACTAGCTTGATAATACAAGTAGATGCAATTTGACATTAATAAGTTTTTCATTAACCAAGAATCGTTTCATAATTGACTCTAACTCCACATTACTGCTCTTAGAGAAAGTCCCTTAATTGTCAATAAAACGTTAACAGTCCCCATAAAAGGCCCGCATACAGTATCTCGGACGGGATAAGTCTCGGGGGTAAGTCTTAGATTTTAAAAATCGTTTATTCGACTTTTTCCTAACAATATAGTGGATTAACAATGTTATTCTAAGATTATTTGTTGTCCATTAGATCTACGTTTCAGACACGATACCCTTTTATAACCTATTCCGCATTTTGTAACAAAAGTAACTGGAAAAGTTGCTTAGATTTTCAGCCATACTGTCTATATAAGGTTTCTCCTCTAACGGTGTTAATGATTTCATGTTATTCTCTTAGAATTTTTTTTTCAAACTTGGACTATGAATATCATATCAAAGTTAGTTTTAAGTCCAAACATTTTGTATTAAAAACAAAGAGTCTCAAGTTCAAAAACCGTTTTTTTTTTAGAAAAACGTAAAATGTCGAAAGTTCAAAAAGTAGACTTATTGCTATAACTATAGAACTTTTACTAAGACCCAGATTTGCATTGTTTCGATATGTACGTATAAATTTTGAATTGCTTCATTAGAATTTCAATTACACAATGATTTCGATTTGCAGAATTTGTTTTTAAGTTCTTTGTACTTTGGTTTCTTTGTTCTTTGATTTCTTTATAGGGAACATGGAATTTTCAATGAGAAAACAATACAAATACGATTTGCGTAACACACTTCTCCGATCTTTACAAAACCGGGGGTATTAGTATAGCGTACTAGATAGATCGGAATCGATTTCGAGAAAAAATTGCGTGAGAAATGCTTAACCTTTCCACACAGTTAAAGAAATGAAACAATATGCACAAATGGTCTAATAAGATTTCATGATAATCATTTCAAAGAATTTTAAAAACAAAATATTTTTCATAAATTTCAGTCGAACAACTGACAATGTCTTTACCTCATTAAAATTTTTTTTTACATACAAACAAATAATGCAAATAAAAACACATGTTAAATAAATCCATTTCAAACATTTTAAAATGCTCCAGATTTATTGTTTATAGGTTTTTAGTGTCTGGTAGTTTGTATATAGTCAGTCAGTCCAAACAAGCACAAACCCCCTACCATATATGTATGAATAATTTGTGTAGGTACAACAAACGTTGTATATGTTTTACTAATTATTTCTACAATTTGCTTTAACGTGTTGTTTCCACCATTCTTCTTCCTACTTCCATTTAGTCATTAATTATTTATGCATGCAATTATTGTGTATTAGTTTATAGTATTTAAATAATTATTATTATTGTTGTTTAGAATAGAAAAACAAATAAAAACACTTCATTATTATATTCATGCCAAAAAAATGTTCAACTTGTTTCTGTTTCGGATATTTGCTTTTATTTTTAAATAGATGTTGGAAAGATATTAAAATGCTAGAAATACAAATGTATTAAGTAGATATAATCATATTTACTTGTAAGTTTATTAATTATTTTTAATTTAATTCCAAGCACACAATTGCTTTAAATGAAATTTATGGTTTGAATAAAGTGTTAGATTGTTTGCTCAAATTTAGAAACCGATATTTATATAAGGAATAGATCATTAATATTTTCAAGGTAAAATAGTTTATTCACATTTTGGGACTATCCCTAATGATGACATAAAACTGCTGTCTTGCAAATGCAAAATATTTTCAAAATTGTTTATATATTTTTTTTTGATATTTGACGACTTTCGAAATATATTTACTTGAATGTACAGTGTATATCTAGTAAATAAATTCCCCATGGTCTTTACATTATACTAGTGGGTATAAGATTGTTTATGTGAGTCATATTTTTTGGTAAAATAGTATCTCAGCCTTAAAATAAACATCATTCATTATATATACAAATTTTTGGTTTAAAAAAATAAACTTTTTCAAAACTATAACCACCAACCGAGCCTTTATTTAATCTCTTCATATACTTATACATATGTACTTGTGTTTTGTATATTGATTTAAGCAAAATATATTTAATAATATTTAACCATGTTTTTTTTTCATCATCCTCGAAACTCTTTTAAAATACTGGTTATTTTGACATTGAATTTTGTATACAATTACTGGTTTCTAAATAAATTTCACCATTAATTACATTTTACCTGTTGTTTCTAGAAATAATTTGCATTTATCCAAAAGTAAATCGTTAAGATAATAAACATATTATATATGGAACAGAATTATTGTATTAAGCCCTGACATTATTAGCTGTGAGCTTTTCCCAGTTTCTTGGCAACATGCATATGGATTCATCTTTTGAGGCCAAGAACCACCAATTTTGGATTCCCCATTCTGAAATGAAGGATATAAGACGCGTGAGGCAAAACATCCCAAGCACTTATTTCTAAATTTTTCAAAAAATATTGGTAATAAATCTTGTTCGTTCGGCATAAAAATTGACAAATTTGACACAAATATTCCAGGGGCGGCGCGTCCAAAATAGGAGATCTTTCGTCATGTAAGATTTTAAAACGCGTGCCATTGTTTTGTTTTCTGTCTGATATTAAAGATTTTCATATAAGTTGTGAAAATTACTCTTGGAGCGATGGATCTCTGCCTAATTCGGACCAGCCCTTTAAGCGCCCTTCACACGAGCACACAAGTAACACGATCTGTCAAAATTTTGTGCAGATGGGATCGTCTAAACACAATATGTAATGAAACTATCACACATTGTAAGAAAATAAGGATGGAAAATTTGACAGTTGTATGGCTCTCTAAATTGTTTGAAATGATTTAAAAAGCAAGACGCATTAGATCAGGAAGGAGAACAGGAAAACAGCTGTTTTCATCATACTTTATTATTGTTTTCTACCAATCGCGTATATACGAAAAATATAAATCATACGACTTTTATTCTCATTTTCTTAGACTTTACTTACGTAAAGTGTCATCGTGTGAAGGGACCTTTACAAATGCCACATTTTAATTTGTGGGGTCCATTTCCAAAACTCGCAGACTTCTTGGCAAAAAAAATCTCTAAAGGTAGATAGTTATTTTGCTGCAACTATACACTGAGCGTCAAAAGTGATTATACACACGTATAACCCTTACTAAGTCCCAGATTTGCATAGTTTCGATTAACATGGCTAAAGTTTGATTTGGATTAGTATCTTTAGAAAACAATATATTCGATTTGCTTATCACTTTTCCAAGACCTAGGTGATTAGTGTCTCGTACGAAATAAATCGAGTGTAATGTAATGTTTTGAGAGAAGCTTGCCGATTGGGCGATTTAGAAATACATATTAATAAAAGGCATCAAAATATTTAAATTTTTATTGTTTCGATTTGTCTGATTCCTACTTCAATTGGCGGCGCTATGACATCGATCTGTGTGGCCACATACAAATTTTTGTTTGATTTGTTTATTCGAAAAGGGTATTTGACGGGGACATATTGATTCATAAAAGGATATTGAGCCAATATCAATTCCAAGAGAAATGTTAATTTTTTTTTACTGTTAAATAACGGAAACGATATATTTTGGATAATTGGTACCTAGTAGGGTTGGTACTCGTTATCGATAGCGCTAAAAATGCCTTTTCTTCGCCGTTACTGCCGTCTATTAAAAGTTCTAAAAGGGACTTCAGAAACATTAGATATCTAAAAAAACTAAAATACCAATACAGAAATAATCCTAAATACCGATAACACAAAAATATCATTACCGAAATGAGTAAAAATACCGATACCGTTACCGAAATAAGATTAAATATCGATACCACCTTGGTACCTTAAGTGACACATACGTTGCTCTGATAAAGTACATCTTCTTCTCAAAGGAAAATACATAGCTTCCAAATAGATTTTAATGATTAATTTATATACTTGTTTTCTCAACTTTAAGTGATAAGGTCAAAATGTCTTCCTTATTCAAATCTAGCGGTTCCAAGTAAATTTAGGAAATTAGTTAATTTCCATAGCCATTTTGACGTCCTAAATATAAAGCATTAAAGCTAAGGCCAATCTCTAACCTTAAAAAAACATTATTGGTACTAGTTTCCTAACAATTTCCTTTCCCTTTGTGGCTATTACTTAACTAATAATACACAGTACACATACAATTCATTAAAACCAACCTAATTTTTTTACAAAAAATAACAAAACAAAAAAAAAAAACAAAGTTCAAGAGTACATATTTCTTTTAAATATTTGCATATTTGGTAAAAACAATGTCCATAGAGCTAATTTACATACTCTTGACTACTGAAGTGTAATTAGTTAAATGTTAATTTATTTTTTTCCCCACTTTCTATACTTTTTTTTTGACATTATAAAAATGTTTATTTACTTTTTTTTTTTTTTTGCAATTATAAAAATTGTGTATATATTTGTATTAAAAAAAAAACAATTCAAGGAAACTATAATAAAATAAAAAATTTATTTCATACAATAATGCAGGAATAATGTTTTTATTGCAGCATCTCTGTTTACTTTGACATTTGCATTTTCAAATGACAGAACATGAAGTTGGTACTTTTATCATGTACTATTTTGCCATTGTTGTTGTTGATATTTTTTTTGCTCTTCTTCTATAGTAAACTATAAAAATTTTATGTTAAGAGCAGAAGTAACGTGTTATGGTGGTGTGATGTGATGCGGTCGGTGTGTTTAGTTCTTAATGGGGGTGGGTTGGAATTTTGGGAATATCTTAATGACATACCTATATAGATGTACATACAAACAGATGTACATTTTTATACAGATAGTGTTGGGCAAAAATATAGACAGTGGATTCTTAATGAAATTTTTGCAATTAAAGTGAATCTGATTTTTTTAGACAAATATTTCCAGGTACTTGTTTCGGTCAATATTTTCTAACATTAGTGCATGTTAATGATCCACACATGTTTCAGGGTCGGAGCTATGGGGTCTTAAATAGGGCAGCTTTAACATGCACTTTTTTAATGCGCGCCATTTTTTGTTTTCCACAAGTCTGTTGCTCGATACCGATCATAATTGTGCCAGAACTATTCTTAATTTACCCGACAGGTTTTCTTCTGTTTTGTTCTGCTGTATATAGCAATCTTCCCCCAGGTCATTCAATCTAGGGGTGGAAAGAGTTACCCCTTGGGCTGTCATTGGCATGATTTGACCTGAAGTCGAAACCCGTGGGAAGGAAATGTTAGTTAAAAGATAGGTGAAATCTATATTTCGGGATAAGTTTGGTGTTGTTGGCGAAAAGATATAGAATAATTAAGGAATATATGGACCTAGCCATACCCATATACTCGTATGAATGTGTCTAATGTTTTCTCTAGTGTTGAATGTTCCATCAGATTATCATTCAGATGATACCCTAAAAATTCCTTTTTTATCCAGGTATGTTCAGGCTTGGCTTTGTTCATACCAGACTTACCGCAGGGTGTTTTTAAAAACTTGACTTTGGTTTATTTGTTCGATTCGTATTTTGGTCCATCGATTGCGTCTCTAGGTGGTGTCGCCAAATCAACTTCCGCTATGTGTGGTTGTAAACGGAAGTGAGTTTTTATACATCTCCGAAGTTAAGCAACGGATCAACAGGGACCAGCGAAACAATGTACAAAAATTGTCATCTGTGCGTCCTGTACAAGGCTCACAAAGAGGCGCTAGTGAGTCGTGTTCATGCTCCGCATGTAGGTAGTTGTTAAATAAGCCGTTTGTTAGGTGTTCATGTAAAGCACTCGACTTCTGTATACGATTTACGTTCTAACGGATCCTTTCCATATCTTCGTATGTTTTCCTCATATATATTAAGGTCCTTTCAGAAATGACTTGGAGGAGCATTCAACTGTGTAATGTTAAAGTTGGAATGACTTATCCGGTGAGATTCCAGGAGAAACTGTTTAGGCAGCATTATATTGTGTTCTCTGAGTATGATTGCAGGAGAAACAGTCAGAATTATATTGTGTTCTCTGACTGGGAATACTTTCGTTTTCTCTTATAAGTATTGTTCCGAGGTGGCATTACTAACCTCAAAATGTTTTGTTTACCCATATCCTGTTCCTACTTCGCAAATTATGCGTGATAGCAGTAGCATGAGCTGAGGCTGTCGAAGGTAAACTTCAAACTTTTTGGGTATTTTGAAGTCGGAATTAGAGCTCCATCGACTATGACGCTAAGATTGAGATTTACCTCCTTGGTCCTTGGAAGAGTGCTGCCAATGACTTTGCTGGTGATAGCTGCAGGTTTCGGGCAATGAGATAACAATTCACCAGATCGCATATATTATGAACTTCCTCATATCACTTCTAGTCACATATCACTTCTAGTCCTTGTGGAGCTGTCGGGAACTTAGAGAGGTACAACTTATACAGAAGGCGGAAGAACAGCGCCTTGGGTAAGTCCTTGTTTAATTCTGCGAGTTTTTGAACGATTATTTCTAAGCTCAACGAACGTCTCACGGCCACTCAGATAGTTCACGATACATCTCTTTTATTATTGAGCATTGTGGAAAGCTGGATATCCTCGAAAAGTGTGTCACACAAATAAAATGGCTATTAGTATGCCAGATTTCAGGGAAATCGGTTTAGTAGTCTTTTCTAGTTTGATATTATAATTGCTGTGCAAAAAGTGGGAGTAAAAGAGGAGTGGCATCTAATCAATTTCGGATTTAAAGTTTTAAACTTTATTCTAAATTCGAGTGTTTAATTTCTATGCTATTATTTTGTACAACACTGTAAAAACAAACGTACCAACAAAACAATTGTACCTTAGTAATGATAGAAAAGGTGGTTGTTATAATCAGGGGGGAAAGAGAGCTAGCTGCGGATTGACTAACATAAACGTCAACTACATACATTTATAAACGAGTGTATATTGTTTGCATTGAGAATTCTGTTGTATTTTTGTTTTTTAAAATAATAGAAACAAATCTTTTAAAAACTGTACAAAAAAGAATCAATGAAATAAGAAAGAAATACTATATTTGTATTTTTCATACCTATCTAATAAAAAAAAGAGTTATACTATATGCAACTAAACCAAAAATGAAACAAAATATGTAATAATACCTTCTATGAAGAAACATCAACTATGTAAATGCAGAAGAAGATGCGAGGGCGTTTGTAGATTTTGTAGTTTGTAGAAGAAGCAGAATAAAAAAAGCACAAGAATAGAATGTAGGTTGTAGGTATTTTTTTTCGTTCGTTTTTTTTTCTCTTAATTTTCAAGTAGTTTTTTTTTTTAGATTTCACATTTAATTTGAGATTTTTTTTAGATTTATTTTAATTTAAAACACTTAAAATAAGGTTAATAAGGGTTTTTTCTATTTAGTTTTATATTTTAACTTTTATCTTTTATGTTTTTATGTATTTCAATTTAAAAAAAAACCGGCTTTATTCAGATGTTTCCTTCCTGATAAAAATACACGTCCTAAATAATGCTGTTGTTGTCTGTTACTTGTTAGTGTGGCGCTTTGTCGCTTCTGCGTCTGATGCTTGCTGCTGTTGGCTTGACGTTGATGTTTTTTATTCTCATCTCTCTATTTTGGTTGTTGTTGCTGTTTTATTTGCTGCTGCTATAATGTGTGCTGCTGTTGCTAATGTTGTTGTTATTGTTGCCTTTTTGGGGGTATACACATTTGTTTTTATTGTTAGTTTTGTTGCTGTTGTTGTTTTTATATTTTTCATCATGAAAACATTTAATATTGACACGTTTATTTATTTATTTATTTTGTTGTTGTTGTTTTTCAACACATTTATTAATTTTCTAATTTTTAATTTCTCTATTTGCGAGTTTAATTTTTCCTGCATTTCTTATATTTATCTCATTTTGGAACTGTCAAATATAAGAATAAACGAATACCACATTTTTATTTGCCAATTTCGAATTTGTATTACTAGGAGTGCGAAAATTAAACGAACCTACCAACAGCTACAACAACAACAAATAATTGACCCAATGTTTTTTCTGCTGCTGCATGTGTACCCTCCATCCCTACCTTCTTCAAACACTGCACACGAGCATAGTAGTAGATGTTGAATAATACAACGACCTAGCGACCCACCGACCGATAGGCCGACTCTATAGTAGACCAAAGGTCGATCGATACATACTTATATACCGCATACATTGTACTTTAATACCGAACGACCGCCTGCCTGCGACTTGTATTACGACTAGGGACGTGTTAAATGTTGGTATGTCTACAAAAAACCTCAAAAAATAACAATACAAGGGAATCACTCAAAAAAGGAACAGTTGTTTAAATTAATTAATTCATCGTTAGAATTTGATTGTAGTTTTTGATATTTACAACAATATTTACCCTAAAATCATTGGACTAAGTACTACAGTTTATTTTCAAAGTCTTTAATCTTTTCTCCAAAATTCTCTTAAGTATGAGGATGTATTTTTAAGGATACTACTCTAGTTATATAGCTTTTGGGTCACTGATAACACAGGTCGACAAATTTTTAACCCAGAGACCAAAGTATACTTTTCTAAATCACATCTGAGATTGGATATATAGTGTCGTAAAGTTTGCAAACACGAGATATTTGGCCCCTTTTTGAGACGTTATAACAGCACCAAGACAACTTTAGTTATAAAATGTCGTATGCTACCAGAAAGTCCATTCTGTCAGCTTTAAAGGCTTAACATCTGACATATTTCCTTTGTTCTTCTTGATATTAGTTTGACAGACTGATTAAACAGCTCAATTGGGTCATTTTCGACCCTTTATGTTATATAACTGAAGATGAAAAATAATAAGGAAGACGTTGCAAAAAATTAAGAAATTTTGCCGAATTATAAGAATGAAGATTTGAGAGTCGCCTGTGGTTTAAAAATTTAATGATCCAAAACTATTTAAAACGATGGAATATAGGGCATCGATCTTTGAAATCTACTACAACGATATATAATTTGCTATCCCTCTTCATTATGACAATTTCTACAGAAATCATTGAAGGGTTATCTAAATATTTTTGCGTGAACACCAACATTACAGCGTCTGCAAATATTTTGCTGAGTTCAAGGCTCCACTTTAAGGATATGCCACTTGGGACAACAATTCTCCAATTTTCGCCAATTCGTCAGCAATGCAATTACCTCTTGAATTCCTTTGCACTCGTACCATTATTAGGACAACTCTTGAATGTCTCTCCATCATGAACAATACCGGTTTAGTTTAAATATCATTCAGGAATTTGATTACAGCTTGACTCTTGCTAAATATTCGTATATTTCTTCAATAATCTGTAAAACTAGTGCTAGTTTGTGTCCGATATTACATAATAAAGGGTACTGAATTCTGAAACTTATTCTTAGAGAAACTATCTTCTAATTTTAAAATACAATAATCAATATTATTCGGAAGATTTTACGTATGTCACAACGGAAGCAAATCGTTGGGATGGGATTAAGCAAGAATTTCCCCTTTAGCCTCTCTTCACTTTTTGCAGATGTTCTTGACGAAATTATTATAAAACAAGGCCAGAGGAAAATGGGATCCTGTGGCACATTCACGAATACCTTAAATGTTTTGAATACGGGCGGCCAATAATGTTGTTCTGCGGATTAATACTGGTAAAGTATTTGCAATGACAAAAACAAGACCGATCAGACTATTAATTTTGTAACAAAATTCTAACTGGATTGTAAGTCTCGTATCGGCTGAAGAAGGCTAGATCGGCTTAACGTAGATATCCGAAAATACAAAACTAAAGATTAATTCATGCGTAAAATCTACGCTTATGTAAGGAAGACAGACTACAAAGGTTCATCAATAAATGCCTGTGAGTTGTATTTGGAATATTTCACTCTCACACCATCAGGAACATAGATCTTCATAGGAAGAGCCAATAATAAAGCCTTAGAGGAAAATTAAAATGGATAGGTGCACACTAACAAATTCCAGAGTCCAAACTATTTATCCAACGCGATGTGATGTCTCAAAGATATCTCTGATCTGATGGATAAATTCATATTCGGATTCTAAGCTGCTCAATTCTTTACAAAACTAAGTATTGGTCTCTGGGTTAAAAATTTGCAGGACTGCTTTATTTTAAACATTCTTTAGAGTTTTAATTGTAAAGAGGACAATTTTACACTATGTGAAAACTAGCAAAGGTTAAATTTGTCTTAACCAATACATTTGTTACTGAATGCCATCTTCCAAGCCAACATTTATAATCCTCTTACAATATCTGAAGGTTTTCCAGAATGTCAATGAAAAAAAAACACAAAATGCAACACTCTTTTAACACTCTGCAAACAAAGTGTCAAAAACGTTTTGTTGTTATTGTTATTATTGCTTTTGCTAATGACACAAATTCTTTGCTTCAAAAAATTCAATGCGAAAATTTATATAGGCTTCTTTTAAATTTTTTATTTATTATTATTTTAATTAAAAAAATTTTTTACAACACATTTATTTTTATATTTTATTTAATATATTTTTAACAAAAATTAGCACTTTTAATTTAATTTATTATAAAAAAATAAATAAATTTTCTTATTCATAACTTTTTGCGTTATACACACACTGAAAATATTTGAAAAAAAAAGCACTGCAAATTTTTTTGAAGTGAATGTTTTGCTAAACAGATACAGAGAGCTATAGACAGACAGACAATGCGACCAACCGACTTCTTCTTTTTTGACTTCTTGTACAACAAAATACTCGCACATACAACAACAACCACATACTGTTTTAGTAAAAAACTTTGCTTTCGTTTCATTCATTAGAGGGCATCTTTTTTCGATTTTTTGCACTATATATTTTTTTTTTTTTGTTGTATTTTCTTATATTTTTTCTTGTATATTATTTTTTATTATTTGAAATACCGAAAATTTATGTTATGTATTTTCTAAGAAAACCCCCATTAAATTTTCATTACATACATAATTTTTAATGAAATTTTAACTTTTATTCCATTACACACTGTGTTGAAACCATTTCATTTTAAATAAAACATTTTCTTTTTTATTTTATTTGTTAAAAAAAACAATAGCGGTAATTAATTATTTAAAAAACGGCTGTTATTTTTTGCTAATATTCACACGTTTTTATATAATTAAGTTGTATGTGTGGTTTAAGATATTAGCATTTTTTCTTTATATTTAATTTGTAATTTTTAATTTTCTATTATTTCGTACCACTTTCACTCAGCTGTCAGGCACTTCTGTGCCATTGAATACGCCAAACACAACTGACTGAAATTTTTGTTTTTCATTGAGAGCAAACGTACGTATGGTACGCGAACGACGAAGATTGTTTCGAGGTGGAGATGTTAGTGGTATTGTGGAGGAATACATTTGTTTTGTTATATCTACAATTGAGAATAGTATACCTTTTGTTTAACCACCATCGTTGGTTGGTGTATCTTCTTCAGAGTCACAGAACGTCAAAGAGAGAGAGATATTTTTATGAAATGAGAGTGTTTATTTTTGGTACACTGATAGAAAATTATGTTTGCAAATTAAATATGATTTTTTCATAAAAAATATTTTTTTTTTAAATTTTAATTTCGAGGCATGTATTGAAAAAAATAATTTTTCCAATAACTACTTATGATTCGATTTTTCTTCCAAAGATATGAATTTACTTTCTTTTTACTAAAAATTTAATTTTTCACTAAGTTTTATTTTCAACTAAAAATTACATCTTTGACAGAAACACTATATGTACATATATCTATAACTTTGTATTACTTTAGATTAGTCTATAGTCTAGACTATAGTTCAGACTATAGTCTAGTCTATAGACCAGTCTATAGTCTTGACTAAAGATCAGTCTATAGTCTTGACTATAAAGTAATGTACAGTCTTCCCTTTAGAGCAATCTATAGTCTTAACTATAGATTAATCTATAGTCTTGATTATAAAGCAATCTATAGTCTTGACTATACAGCAATCTATAGTCTTGATTATATAGCGAAAAGTCTACAGACATGAATATTGATATAGTATATAGTCTTGACTATAGATCAGATTATAGTCTTGACTATAGATAAGTCTATAGTTTTGACTATAGATCAGTCTATATATAGTCTTGACAATAGATCAGTCTTTAGTCTTGATTATAGATCAGTCTATAGTCTATACTATATATCAGTCTATACTATATATCAGTCTATACTATATATCAGTCTATAGTCTTAACAATAGATAAGTCTATCGTATTGACTATAGTTCAGTGTACAGTCTTGATTATAGAACAGTCTAGTCTTGATTATAGTTCAATCTATAGTCTTGACTATATATCAGTCTAGTCTTGATTATAGTGTAATCTGTAGTCTTGTCTTTAATTAAAGGGCAATCTATAGTCTTGACTATAGATCAGTCTATAATCCTGACTATAAGTCAGTCTATAGACATGATTATCTATCAGTTAATAGTCCTGACTATAGATCAGTCTATAGTCTAGATTATATAACAGTATATAGTCTAGACTATATAATAGTCTGTGGACTTGATTATAGGTAATTTTTTAGTCTTCACTATAGTTCAGTCTATAGTCTTGACTATAGAGTAATGTGTTTTCTTAACTTTAGAGCAATCTATAGTCTTAACTATAGGTTAATCTATCTATAGTGATGACTATATAGCACTCTATAGTCTTGGCTATAGATCAGTCTAGTCTTAACTATAGTTCAATTTATAGTCTTGACTATAGATCATTCCATAGTCTTGACTATAGAAGAATCTATAGTCTTGCCTGTTGATCAGTCTATAGTCTTTACTATATTATCAGTTACAGTTTTGTGTATAGATCAGTTGGACAGTTTAGAATCCCTATATTGACGTCAATGTTAAATCAAATGCGGTTAAAATTTATATAAAAACCACAAAATTTTATTTATAAATGTTATTTGCATATAACTTTGACTCACCAATTTTTTATAACACCAGGGAATATATAGTCGGACCAACGTTTCTTTTCCATGAATTTTTAAATAAAAATACTTTTTAATTTTTAGTTTGATTTTAAAAATGTTTTATATTTTTAAACTGAAATATTTTCATTAGTGTATACATATAAATATAGTATTAGTAAAGATGCAATAGTTTAGTTTTATTTTTATTTTTTCATAATTTTTGTTTTGTTCCATTTTATATAATTATATAATTATATTATTATAATATTTTATTTGTTATTTTAAAAATTCCCAAAACTATAGTTGTTTATCATGCTTTTATGGATGCGTTTTTTTTAATATTTTGTTTGATAGTCAAGTACTTGTTTTTTGACCATTTAAAAGGACTCTTTATTTTATTCACTTGACCTACTTATGAAATGAAATTTAAATAATATAATTGAACATAAAGAAAACAACAATGTTTAATTACAGCTGATTAGTTTAAATGTCGTTTTTTTCTATTATTAAATGTAAAGTTCTCAAACAATTTGTAAACTATGTGGTTGCTATTAATGGTGAAAATATTGTGTTTAGTTAAAAGATGTTTTAAACTACTGAAAGATTTTAGTTTTTAGTTTGAAATTCATAAAATTTTATATTCCACCATTTTTTAAAAAATTGCTCTGGCTTAAGTTAACTAAAACAAGATCTTTCTTATTTTTTTTTAGAAATATATATTTTTGTGTTTTTAAAGTACTTTTTTTATAAATTTTCGTTCTTATTTCTGGTTTATAAAGGCTTTGTTTGCATTAGCTAATTTAAAATTATTTTTTGTTGTATTTTTTAATCTATGGCTAAATAAAAGGTCTCAAAACATTGTTTTTTTGAAATTGCAAATATGAAGATATCATTTTGTAAAAAGTTGAAAATTTATTTCATTATCACATCACAAATTTTTTATTAAATTTCTTTTTAACCAAAATGTCAAAGTGCAAAAATAGTGCATTACTCTGACACATTGTAAGACTGATATTTAGAATTGTTAGAATTTATAGTCAAGTCTATATACTCCATGATCCATCACTGATCTCATCTATAGTGAAAACTTTCAGACAGATCTATGGTCTAAAGTCTTGACCATAGATCTGTCTGTACTGAACTATTGCCAAAACTCTAGACTGACTATAGACTTTTGAATGATCTGTAGTTAAGTCTATAAAAGAATATGTAGTAAAAGTAGTATACTGATCTATAGTAAAGACTATAGACCGTTATATAGTCAAGACTATAGAGGGATCTACCGTCAAAACTATCCATAGTAAAGATAATAGACTAATCTCTATCCAAAGACTATAAACGAATGTGTAGAAGATTATAGACTGATCGTTATTCAAGATTATAGACTGGTTAATAGACAAAATTATAGACTAGTTTATAATGAACACTACGACTGATCTATAATAAAGACTACTGATCACGACTTAAGATTATAGACTAATCTATAGCCAAAACTTTAGACTAATAGTCAAGAGTATAGAGTGATCTATTGCTAAGAATATACACTGATCTATAGTCAAGACTTTAGACAGATCTTCAATTATGACTATATACCTATCAACATTCAAGAGTATGAATTGATTTATAGACGAATCTAGGGTCAAGACTGATTTTCAATCAAGAATATAGACTGATCTATAGCCAAGAGTGTTATATAGTCAAGAGTATAGATTGATCTTTAGTCAAGACTATAGACTTTAGTCTAGACTTTGGACAGATCTTCAAACAAGATTATAGACTGATCTATAGTCAAAAGTATAGATTAATCTATAGTCAAGACTATAAACAGATCTAGAGTCAAGACTTTAGGTTGATCCTAAGTCAAGACTATGGACTTATCTATAGTACAGACTAATCTTTGATCAAGAATTGAGTCTGAAAAATGCTCAAGACTGTATAATGAGTTAAGGCTATTGACTGATCTATAGTATAGACAGAATACTAATCTGTAGTCAAGATCAAAGACTGATCTACAGTCAAGACCAAAGGCCAATAGTTTAGTCTATAAATTAATCCATTATAGACTGGTCAATAGTCATGATTATAGACTAATCAGTAGTCAAAAATATAGATTGATCAAGACTAGACTAACTACGACTAAAAACTAATCTATAATGATTTTAAATTCGCACTGATGAAAATCCTAAAAATTTTGCAATTTTGAAATAAATTTTCCACTTTTTTCCCTTAAATTATATTGAAAACTTATTTATAAATCTACAAAACAAGAACTAAGTTCAACTAATAAAAGTTTTAACTAAATCTCGAAAGCAGCTAAACAATATTAACAGATATTAAACAATACTTTAGATAGTAAATACTATTTGCATATTTATGGTTTTGAAACCTTTTTTTTGAAATACGATTCTGTGTACCTATGTAGTTATGTAGTATATGACTAAATGAAGTCGAGTGATTTGAAATATTGTGTGTAAATAATGAAATATTACATATATTTACTTTTACTAAATAGGCTTGTCTTTAATGATAATTTATTTATACAGACGTATAGACAATATTTTATTGTAGCTGCTAGGTGCATTAAAAGAGATAGAATGAGACTGAGACTAATAGATAGAGATAGTTAGAGAGAAATAGAGAGAAAGAGAGAGTTTAATACATAATTAAATGTTGCTTTAGTAGTAAATTCCTGATATCTCTGTTGAGTTTTTACTTTGAGTCACTTTTGTTATAATATTTCACTTCCAATCGTACCAATTTTTTTATAGTTTAGGTTTTTAAACTTAAATATTTTATAAAACTAAATGAGCAAATAAGAAGGGGAAAATTAAGGTGCTAAAGGCAGTAGCAAGATCAGTTCTTAGATCTTTTTTTTTGGTTTACTAATGCTTTCAACACCCTTTTTAAACTAAAAATGATAAATTTATGAAACCAAAAATTTTGTATAAATATACATATATAAATATAGAAGCTTTTTATAAAAGCAGGCAATATATGACTAGATTTTTAATTATATACTATACATTTCATTAGTTAATATATATTAATGTATATGTATGTATATAGGTATATGTATATAAATATGTATATATTTATAATAATCTTATAATGGGCGGTAATGGGCGGCTAGGATTTTTTTGTTTAATGTTTTAGTAGTTGTAGTATGTAAATATGTATATTTTATAATTAATATTTATACTTTATGGTGGGTATGTGTATGTATGTATGTATATGAGTGTGTGAAAGAGAGTTTTGCAGGGAATTCAGGATTTAAAGTTTAAAAAAGAGAGAGATATTTTGGATTTTTTGGTTGGATTAAAAGCTCTGTTGCGCTTGTCATACATATTATTAATACACACTTACAAGTCAAAATAAAACTCAACAAGCAAAACCTAAAATTGGTTAACTTTTAGTTCGTTGCCTTGCAACTGCACCAAACGAAATGCTTCACGTATTGTCGGCGTCATTAATAGTTTTAGATTACCCTCCGCCTCACCGGGTAGCGATCTTAACAATTCCATAGAAGCCACTACTAATTGCGCTAAAGCGTGTCTCTTGTAATTGGAGTCTTTAAGAATGCTGGTAGCTCTTTGTTGTTCGATTTCGGGTGATATAGTTTCCGATTCGGGTTTCTGCGGACGATTTGTATCGAATGGATTGTTCCGGCTTTTAGGTTGAAACTCACTGATTAATGTGGTCATGGTGACGCTTTCCTCTTCGGGTGATTGTGTTAATCTTTGGGGTGAATAATCGTTGTTTTCGGCCAGTCCAGTGGAGCTGCCATTTTCTATATTGCCATTCAAAGTAATACACATAGATTTAATATTTTTTGCTGAACTATTAAGTTGCGCCTCTCCCGAACGTAAACGGCCATTTTCTATATCATGCAAAGTAGAGTTGCTTAAGTACAGTTCACACACCAGATTCCAGGCGTCTTGTAGGCAAAACAAGTACCTTACAAAGTTCTCCTTTTTCTTGACCTTAGTGGTGTTAAGACGTGAGCAGGATTCGAGAATAAAATTCAAATCCTCGGGTCCTAGATTGTAAATAACAATATCGTTTAAATAGGAATCGACCAAAGCTATGTAGTAAATCATCCAGGAGGAAGTCATTTGTTTATATAGATTTGCTGCATACTCTATATTGGCCACCTTTTGCATAAGAAATTTAAGACCAGGACGAGAATCAAATTCCAATGCACTAGTTAGGAACTGCAAGCAACAACGCAATAGTATCTCCTTGGAACGGAAATCCAAGTCATAGTCATAGCATTGCTGTGTAGCGGTGGTGTAGTTGTCAAAAATACAAGTGGACACGGCCTGGGGTACACATTTTAAACGGGATAGCAATAGTTTGGCCACCAATTGTAAAAGCATTTGATTTGCCAACAAACCCACAACTAGGGTCTTGAAGGGTATTCTTATGACAAAGTTATCGAGGTTAGAATTGAAGCCATTATTTTGGGGATACAAAAGGAACGAATAGCTGCGATCATCCGTTAAATGTTTATCCAAATGATTGTTCAATTTAGCTCCCGGTTCTCGCTGATTATCAGAAAGAAACACCTGCTGGGCTAGAGAATATATGCGTGTCAATTCCTCAATGGTGCTGTCTCGTCTAGCGGCCACCTTAACATTGGCACAGTCACCATAAAAACTGTTGGATTTTTCATGAAAAGCAAAAGATAATTGGCGCAATGGTGCTATGGTAACAGTGCAGGCCCTATGTATAGCAGAGCAGGCTATCATCCATTGGTATTCATTAAACAAAGTGCCGGTAGAGAGTATAACATGTTTAAGGCAGGAAACACCTACTCGAGCCACTGTTTCCTGGACCTGCGCAGCACATTCGATAAGCACCAACAGCAATTGTTTCAAGGCCAAAGTAGCCGAGTTAGATACCTTTGTGCTGGTCTCTTTAGAATCCTGTGAACTTTCTTCGCTGGAAGTACTATCATATTGAGCTCCTCCAACACCATTAGCTACTCTCTCTTCCACCGGCTCGGTAACAAATTTTAACTTAGAATAAGCATTATCCTTAGGTTGTACTATCTGTGTAACACGAGTCCTAGTATTCGTTGCCTGTTTGCGCACTTCGGGCAAAGACATTTTAATAAAATCTACCACCAAATCAGTGGTCATGCAACAGCAATGCTTGAAATTTTTCTCTACCATTTGCCAGGAGGTGCCAGTTTTATTGATATACCTCAACCAATCCTGTATCATGGGTATCAACAAGTGATTAATGCAGTAGAAACCAAATTCTATGCCGGGATTTGTTAGTAGATTCTTAAAATGCTTAAAGATTGTCTGCAATATGGGAGCCTGATGTGAATAGGGACAAACTATTAAGGAGTTGGTTAGACCATCCAATAGAAGAAACCATACTTTGAGTACACCCGAGGGTTTGTCCATTTCATCGATTTTTACTATAGTCTCCTTGTCGATATGCAATGAGCGATAGGAAATCATATGTTGTTCATTTTTGGTTTGTAAATAATCGTTGCCAAAATATGTGAAGTTCTCCATGGAATTGGGTATGTTGGCATCAATAATATGTGTGTATGAAATACCCTTGATCTTGTAGGTGGAATGGAAATTTGGGCATTTCGGCATATTGTACATGAAACCTAAAATGGAAGAGCAACGTTCTAGGAAACGTAAAGTTTCATGCAAGAATTCTGTGGGTCTAAAGTTATTCTCATCATCATTTGCAGCGCCACCACCACCACCCGAAGATGAGCCAGTATTTGAACCACTCCCTCCACCACCTCCACCCACTCCTCCACCACCTCCTCCTCCAGCGCCGGGTACCTCGAGGAATGATAGTAAGCACAAAATACAATCGAGGCCCGCATTAGCAAAAACCAAAGTGTTGTCGGAATCTAAAAATACCCTGAATATGTCAATGATATTGCTTGCGTTTAACATGCGGCTTCTGGCATTGCGCAAAGTGCCAAACAAGGGACGCCAACCCGAACGTATTTCCGTACGATGAGCTTCCACGATTTCATATAAACAGGCCACAATTTGATCCTGAACATCAGAATCACATGAGTCCATGCTTAAAAGATTCTCAAATGGTTTCAGTAAAGCCTCATTAAAGTGGAAGTAGGGCAGTTCAGATTGTTCCACCAATAAAGCCGTAACTATATCATGTATATACTCTATAGCTCGCTTTGATATAACGCGATCGCGATGGCAAGCGGCGTCCATTAGATGCGGCCCAGTTATGGCCCATATCTTGAGGATGTGCAATAAAGGTCTGGGGCTGCGAAATACTTTTAAAGTAACATCACCTATACGATGCAAAAGTAAAGACATGGGCAAAGTATCATGTTTACGCCAACCCTTGCTGGGCCACCACACACGACTGCCTTTACGTGTGGTAGTATTCTTGTATAACTGTTCTCTGGATGCCCTACAGAGATTTTTCAAGAACTGGCATAATGAGGGCAAACTTAAACGTTCGGCTGCGTCACTGAAGAGATTTTCCGCCTGCTGGGAAAGTCCACAAAGAACTTTGGTTGTATCGCTGGGACTCAGTAGCACAGTTTCGTTGGTACCCGAGTAGACTTTAAGAATCGAAGTAATATTTGTGTTGGGACTACGTAGTGGAGCTTGTAGGAAGCTATAGACATCAACACTGTAATAGAAATGGAGAAGTTAAACGACTGCGAATATATTTAATTTTATTTTAAAGTTCCCACCAAGTTTCATCATCATCTATGGGTATAGAAGCTAAATTAAGTTTTTCATTTTGACCTCCATTACATTGCAATTTCTCTCCAGTCTCTATGTCACGATTGCCATTTGGCGATGAAGTTGGTACCGAAGGATTACGCATGCTAAAGATCTCATGCTCCAACTGGCTGACATGACGACAAACAGCGAATATAGATTGCCAGCAATCTGGACTATAGGAACCTAAATTAAGACCGCCGCTAAGCACGACATCCATCGACAAAGCCTGACTGGCAGAAATACGCGGCCCCGTCGTTTGGCAAACATTCGAAGCCAATAAGTTAAGAATCTTGCCAGCCAAATGTTGTAAATTTAAGTTATTGCTTAAGGTAGCAGCCTGTTGAAAAGAACTGAAATTAGAAATTTCTTAAATTTTAAAAATAGCTTGTTCCACCTACCGAGTGCAAACCATCCAAACACATGGCATATAAAGCCTCACCGTTCGATTTGGCAGTTTTACTTTTAACCCTCAAAGTGCGTTTAGATAATGCCACAAATTTACTTGAACTGGAAGAGGGCAAATCACCCAATCCCGAACTTAATACCAAAACCATGGAATCCCAACAACAGGTCAGCAAACGCCGACTTAGTTTTTTAGCAGCTTCACGTCTTGCCGTACTGTGTTCATCATCCGTATACTTAACATTAGCCGACTGAAGTCTTTGCCACTCGGACATCATTTGTGTAGCGCCTAAACCACCAGCATCACATAACATATCGATCAAGGCACAGCGATTATTACCTCCCTCCTGGTCATTACTGTCTAGAGATTCCAATATATTTAAGACCAATACACTCTGATACAATTCACATAACCAAGCTGAAGATAGATATACCAAGACGCCGGTATTCTGGACGGATGTAACAAACTGTTGCTCAGACATTGGTATCATGATCTCCTTCTGCATGTCTGCATAATAGCCGGCTTTCTTTAGTTGCCAACTTAGCAGTAAAGCCGAGTAAATGGCCAAATATATGCCATCAGCATTGATGACCGTAAAGTTATAATCAAAATCGGAAATATTGGCGCTGTTCTCTTGACACACAGCAGAGGCAAACTCCTGCATAGCCTCGTCGACTTCAATACATGAGCGTAAACGCAATAGTTTAGGAACCAAATCAGAGTGTAGAGCTTTAGCAAAATCCCGGGCATGTTGACGATCGGTGTCAACATCGGATCGTACGGGAATTACTGGCACTTCCAGATTAGTATATGGCCAGCGATTAAGTTCAGCTCTAGAAGCCTCATCGCTGGAAGTCGAATGTTCTTCATCTTCGGGTCCCTCAGTATCGCCGGAACCATTCGAAGCCGCATCATTTTCTATATGATGATCACCATCACTTTCTGAACCCGATGAAGCTTCATAAACACTTTGTCGAAATTCAACGACAGCATCTCGATAGGATGCCGGTAAACGGGCCATTGACTGATAGGTTAAAGGCCCAGTATAGTCGGCATCTTTTAATTGTCCGTAACGTGAGTTTACTACATTTACAATTTGATCACTTATCATTCCTTCTGTTAATTCGCCGGTACAAAGTACTTGTAGACTTTGCAGCAGAGCAACCATGCATTCAACACTGGCTTGTAAACTGGCCTCGACTACAGTACCATTTCCGGCACCATAAGCACATTCTTCCATTGCATCGATCATTCTGAAAAGGGAAAGAGAAATATATTTTATTGTGATTTTCCATTTAAATGCTATTGAGATATCGATTATTATCAAATATCCCTGTTTTAGTCCCAGATTCGTTGTGTGAACTTGAACTAGAACAGAACTAGAACTAGAACAGAACTAGAACTAGAACAGAACTAGAACAGAACTAGAACAGAACTAGAACAGAACTAGAACAGAACTAGAACAGAACTAGAACAGAACTAGAACAGAACTAGAACAGAACTAGAACAGAACTAGAACAGAACTAGAACAGAACTAGAACAGAACTAGAACAGAACTAGAACAGAACTAGAACAGAACTAGAACAGAACTAGAACAGAACTAGAACAGAACTAGAACAGAACTAGAACAGAACTAGAACAGAACTAGAACAGAACAGAACTAGAACAGAACTAGAACAGAACTAGAACAGAACTAGAACAGAACTAGAACAGAACTAGAACAGAACTAGAACAGAACTAGAACAGAACTAGAACAGAACTAGAACAGAACTAGAACAGAACTAGAACAGAACTAGAACAGAACTAGAACAGAACTAGAACAGAACTAGAACAGAACTAGAACTAGAACAGAACTAGAACAGAACTAGAACAGAACTAGAACAGAACTAGAACAGAACTAGAACAGAACTAGAACAGAACTAGAACAGAACTAGAACAGAACTAGAACAGAACAGAACTAGAACAGAACTAGAACAGAACTAGAACAGAACTAGAACAGAACTAGAACAGAACTAGAACAGAACTAGAATAGAACAGAACAGAACTAGAACAGAACTAAACTAGAACCTAATTAAAACTGAACTAGAACTGAACGAGTATTGTACAGGAACTCTACTCTTTTCTACTTACAATCTAAAGAGAGCCATTTCATCACTGCAGCCCTGGGCAGTAGTTTTATCGGCATAAAGAATCACAGCTAAATCGATTAAACGTTCTGGACTACGGAAAATTTCTCGTACACATTTTAAGGGTTCTGTACGATTTTGTGGTGTAGGCAGCAATAGCATGCGATGGAACAAAGCTTCTAACATGGGCCTTAAAGAACCATGAGAACCAGCTATTCTTAACAGTTGAATACCCGTAAGATAAACACAACGAGCCTGAGCGCCATCCAAACCAGGACCAGTAAAAAACCCTCTAGCCTCATTTTCAATAATGTGTAAAGCATCTCTGGAAATATGAATGAAGTATTAGAATGTTAAAAATAATCCATCTATGGAATTTAGAACCTACTTGTAAGTAAATTTCTTATCCAAATTCACTCTTCCCGGAGAACCCAATGCAGCCGCCAAAGTAGGGCAAAACTTTTGCCATAAAAATGAAGTAAAATGCGGATTGGCATATACATTACGTGGCAACGATGATGTCAAAGTTAATATACATTCCGTTAAGTACAGAGTGCAAGTGTTCTCCACTTTCTTATTAGGTGAACTGGTAACATTTGGTTCCACCAAACGACTGCAAAGCCACTGCATTACCGGTATTACCTCATTATATACGGCAGTAGCCTGGGTTTGTGTCATTAAACCAGCGGGTGCGGTTTTCTTGACATCCTCTGCCTCTTCTATGAGAAAGGTACAAAATGTTCTTAAACATTGTGAGGCGGCTGCTAAAGAAGCCGCTTTGGTGGCTCTCGAACCCAATTCCCAACATTCTCCACAACGTGAGAGAATCTCTATGAGTAGACGCCCATTTAGGGTACAAGCAGGAGAGCAAGCCATAGCCAGAAAAAGTCTTAAAACATTAACCACAGTATCTTCATTACTCGTTGTTGGCAATATACTAGAAGTAGCTCTCAACAGTTGAGCAGGCAACCATACCGAATCATCTTCCGGTTCCAGGCCAATATAGAAACGTTCATCTTTTATTATTCTCTGAAAATAGGGTAAAATTTGTGTGTGTTAATTAATTATTTGTCATACGTATTGTTGTCCACTTAATTGTTTTTGTTAGATGTTAGATGTCAGGGTTTATTTACTTTACACAGAAAATGTAAACAATAATAACGTAATTGTATTGAACATGTTTGTATGTTTGTACTGAAGGGTTTATTTGCATTTGTTAGACAAAAGACAAATTTGTTAAATAGTATTTTCACTGTTTTGCTGTTAATTGATTTTAATAGTTAATATATTTTTAAAATTAAATTAAAAATAGTGTAACTCAAAATTCAATTTTTTAATTTAATACTATAAGAATTATTCTTTGCTATAAGATATCTGAAAAAGAATGTCAATTTTACTTTTATCTGTTTTCATTTAAAATTTTTCTATATAAATTCTATGAAAAATATTTATTGTTAAATCTCTAGAGATTTTATTTTTCACATCCTTCGTTCTGTTTTTTGTTTTATGGAATTTAGGCCATTCATAAATATTTGTAATTTTACTTTCATTCGCTCTGAAACTCTGTAATATGCCTTAATAATAACTTTAATAAGTTTTTTCAAGATTCCACTTAAAAATATATAACTATTAGAAATGCATACATTGTAAATAAAAGTACTCATAAGTATACATAGAATGGTTTGATATGCTTTGTGAAACAGAAAACAACACTGAACGAAATTTGAATAAGTGAAGCCTTTTTTTATTAAAAAAAAATAAAGAAAATAAATAACTAAAAAGAAATTGAAAAAAAAAAAAAAACAAAAAACATTTAAATCTAGTCGGATTACATTCCTTAATCAATATTTGCCACTAAGTCAAAGTTACCTGATATGCAAAGGATGAACATTAAACTTTATCACAAGATAAAATTCAGATTTTAGAAATATTGAAATGTGCCTGAATTCTATATCAACCGCCGCCCTCAGTTAAATTTCCCACACTGTTTCCTCCAACAATGTCTACGAACAATTGACATTTTGATTTTGCAAAACATTTACAATTTTTTAATCCTTTGTCGCACACACATATGGATGAGTATTAAATAAAAAAATCAGGAAATTCTATACACGTTTGTCGTTTGTATTCTACACAATATTTCCTTAATACGAGCATTAAAACAAAAGCTACACACAATAACAATATTAAGAGAAAGTAGTAGAATACACAATGGTGGTCGTGGTAGTGGTGATGATGGCGATGGTGCTATTGTTATATTCCATTTAGACAAAACGACACTTGATCCTTTTGTGCAATATATAGTAGTCGTTGCATTGAACAAAACTACATACAATCACAAGTACTTGTATTGTGTTGAATACTCAGGAAACCCAGTAGTCTTAAAACAAGTTAACTGTATCCTTTCTTAGAAGTATTTTAATATAATACCCAAACGGATCTAGTTAATTCTAGTTCAGTTCTAGTTCAGTTCTAGTTCAGTTCTAGTTCAGTTCTAGTTCAGTTAGTAGTTCTAGTTCAGTTCTAGTTCAGTTCTAGTTCAGTTCTAGTTCAGTTCTAGTTCAGTTCTAGTTCAGTTCTAGTTCAGTTCTAGTTCAGTTCTAGTTCAGTTCTAGTTCAGTTCTAGTTCAGTTCTAGTTCAGTTCTAGTTCAGTTCTAGTTCAGTTCTAGTTCAGTTCTAGTTCAGTTCTAGTTCAGTTCTAGTTCAGTTCTAGTTCAGTTCTAGTTCAGTTCTAGTTCAGTTCTAGTTCAGTTCTAGTTCAGTTCTAGTTCAGTTCTAGTTCAGTTCTAGTTCAGTTCTAGTTCAGTTCTAGTTCAGTTCTAGTTCAGTTCTAGTTCAGTTCTAGTTCAGTTCTAGTTCAGTTCTAGTTTCTAGTTTAGTTTTCTTGGTTATTAATTTGTATTTAAGAACTGCAGAGCTGTCTGATTGTGTACAATTTTAAAAATGTATTTAAGTTTTCACTTCACTTACATGCAATCCGTTTAAGCCCATTGTTACAAATTTTGGTCGCTTGGTGTCTAATGCCATTTGCAGTGCTGTAAAGCATACCGAACGCAATTCATGTGATGGATCTCGATGTATACCATGTTGTCGATATAATTTATCTGAAAAAGCAATGAAAAAGGGAAACGAAAATCAGAAAAATACTGCACATAATGCAGCCATTTGTAGTTTAAACTACAGACAGCCACACAATTTTCCAATGTAACTAATGCTAATAGCAGAAGGACTTCAAGGAAAGAGAAAAAAGTACGCATGTATAATGATGTTGGCTGTTGAAGTAAAAATAAAAACTTACCGTATGCTATTTGTGCAGTCTGTCGAAGGGCATTATGTTTAGTCCCCGTAGACTCCTTTATTATCAATAGAAATAAATCTTCCATATTTGTGTTGAAATTTGTCTGTTTCTTTTTTTCAAATTGTTTTTAAATTATTTATATTTGTGTAATATCTTTATTGAAAGCTTATTTTCATCAAGTTTAAATTTTAATTACACTTTTTATTTTAGCTTTATGTATATTGTTGGATATAGTTATTGTAATTGCTTTTTGTTGTTGTTGTCCTGTCAACAAATAAATCAATATTTAAGATGTTGTTAATGACGCTCTACTGATGACTACGATGTCGATGACAACGACAAGACTACAAAGCTATAAGTCTTAAGGTCTAAAAAATCCTTTGTGTTTTCATGTTGCAAAAACTTTATTTTATGTTCTCTATTGTATATGTGTATGTAAATATTTTTCGTTTTTCTCTTAAAGCAATATTTTCTTTTATTTTATAAATTTCAAATATGTGCCTTAAGCTCCTTCATACATATAATAGTACACTCATCATACATATGTTTGCACTATTTATGATGACTCAACTTCATGGAGTGAAAAAAAGTACATACACGAGTATCCCATAAAAAATGTACCCTTTTTGCTTGCTTCAGCTATACGATAATAATATTCAAGGTTTTAAATTTTCTTTTTTTATTAATAAATTTAGTTATTTCTTGTTTTAATATCTATAGACTTTTGTTAGTTTAATATTAAATTAATTTTCGTTATTAATTTACTTTTCTTTTTTATATATTTTTATTTTTTCTTAACTTTTATTTTGTATATACAATTTTTTAAGTAATTTTTATATTTTAGATTTTGTTTTTTTCCGGGAATTATTCACTTTTTCACTTATGTCTACATGGACTCTCGTTTAATGACTGTTATTGCTTGCCTCAAATAATGTACTCCATGCTAGATAGTAACAGTTTGTCGGGGATGAACATTTTTAAATTTGTGAGTACTTTTCTTGTTTGTAATTGAGTAGATTTTTCGTACTATATTTGTGCAGAAGTATGAAACTTTACTTTAATTTTATTTAGATACTTTTAGAATTATTCTAGTTTAATTGATAATAAAAAACTTCAATCCTTTTACTGTATTATTTCAGATGCTTTAATTTCATTTCTTTCAGAACAAATTCTTTATTGTATTATTTTCTTTATTGAATGACGTATATAAATTTAACTCTAATTACTGTATAAATTAGTTTTACATAATTTTTCTCTTTCTAAGAAATTGAAAACAAAAATTAATTTATCTAATCTATCTATCTATCTATCTATCTATCTATCCTATCTATCTATCTATCTATCTATCTATCTATCTATCTATCTATCTATCTATCTATCTATCTATCTATCTATCTATCTATCTATCTATCTATCTATCTATCCATCTATCCATCTATCTATCTATCTATCTATCTATCTATCTATCTATCTATCTATCTATCTATCTATCTATCTATCTATCTATCTATCTATCTATCTATCTATCTATCTATCTATCTATCTATCTATCTATCTATCTATCTATCTATCTATCTATCTATCTATCTATCTATCTATCTATCTATCTATCTCTCTATCTATCTATCTATCTATCTATCTATCTATCTATCTATCTATCTATCTATCTATCGATCTTTCTATATCACAAAATTAAAAAAGTACTTTTGAAATCATAACAGTATAATTCCCTTCATAAATAGTACCATCTCTCTAATAAGTACGACAATTGTTCATCCGTGCGCATGTCCTTTTCGAAAGGGGGGGGGGGGGGCTCAAAAGTTCACTAGTTTCAGTGTATGTTAGTGAGTGTATCTCATCTCAATTATATAAAAAATCAATAATTTATGGCAATTCCCTTTTTTAATATTATTATTTGTTGTTGTTTTATTTATTTTTTTGTTATTTTTCTAATTCATTCTTCTTTATCATTCGTATTGTCTTTTTCCAAAGACACACACTCACACATATCTTTCTTCCTGTAAATTTATTTATTTCGTATATTTTGTTTTGATTTTTGTTTTGTTGTGTTATGGACTTGAGTTTCTACTGCTTGAGTAGTGAGTCCAACATATTCACTCACTATTGTCTTGAAGCCTGTTGGTATCTTTTTGGATGATGAGATGTTGATGACGACGATGATGTACACACACGGTGAGACACAGACTGTGTATTAACAGGTGGTTTATCTACTTTTGTAGGAGAACACAAAAAAAATATACACAATAAAAGAATGATATAAATGTTTTTATGGCATAAATTATGCATACGTACCAGCAACAACAAAGGTCACCCAGTAATCGTTTCCGTCATCATCCTTTTAATGAGCGCTTTGCTTGTTGTGCCCCTTTTTAATGATTTTGAACTTGTAAACATGTTTTTTGTTTGTAAAATGAAATTAAATATGAAAATAATGAATTATTTGCGCGCTTATGATTGAAATATTTTATAATTATATGTGTATTTAGAAATAAATATATTCTTAGACCTAAAAGAGTAAAATTTTAATGACCTTTTCTCCTTTCGTTTTTTAATAGACAAAACAAATGTACAGGTGTAGGTATTGTATATAAAAACCTTTGCAATTTAATTGGAACTATATTCTTAAATACTTTTACCATTGGAATATGAATTTTAAGCTTTGGAACGTTATTTATTTACTGAAATAATTTCTCACAGAATCTTTTTTTACAAGCTTATAAATATTTGATTTGTTCGGTTGTCAATAAGGATACAAATTTGTAACTGTATTCTAAAACCAAATAGCCTGAAGTTTTTCAGTCATATATACTCCTGACGACTAGCGTTCCTTTTCATTATGAAAAACAAGCTGCTAAATGTGTGAAAATACCCATAAGCGAAATATAGCTCGGTAGTTAACAGTTAGTATTTTTGTTAGGACCTAGGATTATATATGTAAATCAGACAGAAAATTTTAATTTTAAAATACATAGTACTAACTTATACCAAAATTAGTACTTTATTTTTGGTATGAGAATATAGACTAAAGACAATAGATTTAACTATAAATTAGACTACAGAGATGACTATATTCTAGGCTATAGACTAAACTATAGACAAGACTATAGGCTAGACAATAGACTTGACCAGAAAATTCAAAAAATATAATGCTTCGAACATTTTATATATCAATTTTCGTAACTCACCTGAAACAAGAAGACCAAAAAAAAAAAAAAGGATAGAATTAAGTTGCAGTTTATACATAATCTGAATGTGACATCATAATGTTTTTCTTTATTAATTTACTTGTACATATAAAATGCAATTAATATTCTTAATAAAAAGATTGTTTGCTACAGTAGGACTAGATGAATTTATTTAATAGGTTTCATTTTCCACAAACCATCATTCAAATAATGGCAATTTTCCACACCAATACCTTTGTTGATTTTAGCACTGCAAAAGTAATTTAAAGAAATTAATAGAGTTAATTATGATACATTCTGGCAAAACTATACAAAATAATACACATCCGTATGTTAAACCAAAAGTGCTAGACATTTCTCTTTGTGTATTCCCATCAAAGAAAATTATTTACGGATTTTTTATTTTATATTGAACTATACAATTTACTCACATATCTTCTGTAGACAATGTTGTTATACCAATTGCTAAAGCATGCTCTTTACCCTCAGCCATAATGGCAACAATGGTGTTCTTTTCGGCCGGTGTCATCATGGCTCCGGGTGAGGTTAAGCCGGGACACATAATATTAGCACCACTTAAAACAAAACGTATGGCACCCTTATCCACCTGCTGCATATTAACGAAGAAGGGAAATTTGTGCAACAATTTCAATGTTGGCATCCATTGGCCATCACGATGACGGAAAAATACCTGTTCACCGGCACCATTCAAAAGCAATTCAATGTGGTCATGACTAAAATGTATTAAAGCGACAAATAATAAAGAAAACATAACAATTTCTTCTTTACCAAACTCTTACCATTTTGCTATGCGGTATGTGTCCTTTTTGGGTAGAATAACATCAATGTGTGATTCCAACAAGGGATAGGTTTCTAGCAACTTTGCTCTTATTCCCTTTTGCACCGACGACTTCAATTGCTGTATGGATGAAACACTTTCTTTTTCTTCAAATCTAAAATATTATTATTAGAGTAAATAGTATTTTTCTTTTAATTTGATTTATTAAATCGTAAAACCTACTTTTTAAACATTTTGAGGGCAGTAATATAAAAAAGAACTAATAATAAATTTAGTAAATGCAAAAAATATGCGTTAATAGTAGAGGTGGCAAGTTAGCGATGACACTATCGATAACTATCATACGTTTATATATATTGACATCGTTAAAGTACCACATGTTTAAATAGGGTTTCTAATAAATATATAACAAAGTAAATGTTTAAAAGGCGATATTAAAAAGTTTGTTAAGTCAACAATTTCATAATTATTAATGTATTAAAATCGACTTTCCATAAATTGTAATAAGTCGGAAAGTTTTCATAAATGCAAAAAGTTGCAAAGTCAAAAACTACTTTTGGAACTAATATACATTGGGTACAACTCTCCAATTTTGACAAAAATTTTACCACTTATAGGCCTTTTAATTTTATGATTTATGATATATGTCTTTTGGTCAACAAATGTATAGTTATGGAGTTATAGACCTTCGAAGTTAAATATATATATTATCAATATCTTCTCTATTTAAGAACCCATCCGGACAATATATATATATCATTAGAAAGAGCTCTGAAATACCTTTTCAACGTTATATAATATGATCCTTTTTATTAACCCTTTGAGGACCAATTCCACAATTATATAGAGTTTTTTCACAAAAATGCCGTTATTTCGTAAATCCATTGATATAACGTTACTGATATATATTGGAAAAATTGCAGAAGAGATTTCAAGCTTTCATTTGATGTATGGATATATACTAATATCTTAATAAATATAGACGATATTGTAGTTGGATTCTTTTGCACCCCATGTATCTTTTAAAGCAGAGAACATTCAAAAATATTTTTGAATCCTTCATAACTTGACGAACAAATAAAAATATGAATTTAGTACTTTTTGGATATTCGGACGTTTAAGGGGTGAAAATTTTACCTCTTTTTGGTACTTTTTTATAAAACATTGTTTTTGGTTTATTAACTTACATACATACAAATACATACATACATACATACATTTCGTTAATGGGGAGGAAAAAAGTACCAAGAGGGGTAGAAACGGGAAATTTGATTTTATTCAAGAAACACTAAATATGCAAATGGGGTGTTATTTTGAACACCGGTACCAAGTGATATTTTTTGGTACTTTTTCATTCTCCAACAGGTACTTTTTGAGTTTTCTATGATATTAAAATCGAAACATGAAATTAATAATTAAGGGACTTTTCGGAACTTTTTCGTTCTACAAAGGTACTTTTTGAGTTTTCTATAAAATTTATCCTAGAAACATGAAATTAAGCAAGTAGAGTCCGGAGTAAATGAGAATCTATAAAATGGGACTTATTGGTACTTTATCGTACTTCGACTGGTACTTTTTTGACTTAGAACATAGAAACATGTAATTAAGCACTTGAGAATCTATAAAAGTGGACTTTTTGGTACTTTTTCGTTCTTCAAAAGGAACTTTTTGAATTTTCTATAATATTAAACCTAGGAACATGAAAGCATGTATTGCCCCGATTAAGAACCTGTAAAAGGGGACTTTTTGGTTCTTCAAAAGGTACATTTTAAGTTTTTGTATAATAATGAACCTAGAAACGTGAAATTAAGCATGTAGAGCCCGGATTAAGTGAGGTCCTATAAAAGGGGACTTTTTGGTACTTTTTCGTTCTTCAAAAGGTACTTTTTGAGTTTTCTATTATAATGAACATAGAGACATGAAATTATGCACGTAGAGCCCGGAGTAAATGAGAATCTATAAAATGCCACTTTTTGGTACTTTTTCGTTCTTTGACTGGCACTTTTTGCGATTGCTACAAAATTTCGACTGGTACTTTTTGAGTTTTCCATAAAATTAAACCTAGAAACATAAAAATAAATATGTAGAGCCTGGAGTAAATTATAATCTATAAAAAGGGACTTTTTCGTTCTTCGACTGGTACTTTTTGAATTTTTTATAATATTGAACCTAGAAACATGAAATTAGGAATGTACAGCCCGGATTAAGTGATAACATATAAAAGGGAAGTTTTTGGTACTTTTTCGTTCTTCAAAAGGTATTTTTTGAATTTTCTATAATATTGAACCTATAGACATGAAATTAATCCTGTAGGGCATGGAGTAAGTGAGAACATATAAAACGGGACTTTTTGGTACTTTTTCGTTCTTCAACTGGTACTATTGGGATTTTCTTTTATAATGAACCTAAAAACATAAAACTAAGCAATCAGGGACTTCAGTGAATGAAAATTTAAACTGGAGTATTTCTGGTAATTTTTCGTTCTTTAACTGGTACTTTTTGAATTTTCTAAAATATTAAATATATAAACATAAAATTAAAGACGCAGTATCCTAATTGAACGAAAATTTATCTCGCTTACGTCCATTTTGCAAAAAGGCTCGATATCAATCGAAATCTCTATAGGCCATAATTGACCCTGCCCCCTTCAATAATTGATTTTATGAGGATCGGTCCGCCAATATAACCCTCTTACAGAAAATTAGTTTATAGCTAATACATGATTCCAAAAGTTATCATTATGATAGAATTATGGTAGAATTAAAAAAAGTACTTTAAATTATAGAGAACTTTGTCCATAATTGACCCAATTCCACATTTAAGTCCCTAATCCGAAAATCACGGTGACGTTCTTATTAATCTAATGATCAAAGTCCATATATATATGTATATGACCACTTCCGAAATTTGCTTTTTTACGACAAATGATTGCCGAATATAACTCTTTCTCCTTACTTAATCATAAATAAATTACCGCTAAAATAGGAATAGTCTGCCTTTAGAGTTGCGAGTTTTCATACACTCTAATAATGTTTTCAAAGTGAAACTTTTGGAATATTTTTCAATCTTTTTGTGATCCCTTTAAATGATGTTGTTCTGGAAGAAATTTAACATCCATGTAAACATTTTGGGTAATAAATTGGGGGACTACCAATGAGGGGAGCGAAACCTCCCATATGAATTAAATACAAAAATTCGTTTATCTGGGAAACTAATAGAACTAAATTCTTCAAATTTTGCACGAAGAACTTTAATATTCATCTGAACATTTTGGAGATTTTGGGGGGTCTTGGAACTCCCATATGAATTAAATAGAAAAATTCGTATATCTGAGAAACTATTAGAGCTAGAGTCTTCAAATTTTACTGAAGAACATTTAGAGAAATTGCAATAATTTGCGTGGAATCTCCCATATGTAACAAATTGTATGTCTGGAAAACCATTGTAGTTAGAATCATCAAAATCATTAAGCTATTTATATTGCTTTTAGGGTAGCTCAGCACACTGGGTATAGCTAGTAAATAAACAAATAAAATATCTTTGTTTTTACGTTATTGATAATTTTCTTAATACAAATTTTTTTAGAAACTGATTTTCTGCAAGATGTTTTATATGGAGGATAGGGTTAAATATCGGCAGATCCTCGTAAAACTTGGAGAAAGGATTTGTTTTTAATTTTTAAGAATTTTTTATTCATGCCTACATAATTTCTCACACAACTTTTGAGCTTGCTCTGTTTTGTTGTTATAAACAATATATTTGCTTCCAAAATCCCACTTTCTGATCTCTCGGATTCCGTTTTTATTTAAAATCGTTGAAAATTAAAAAACTAAACGTAGTTGAAAACTTAGCCGGCTTGCAGTCGATTTTAAGCCGCCGCCGACATATTTGGTGTCAGTCGCCTCCGCCGTTAATATTTGTCGGCGCAGGCCTCTGTTATAGCGTCGGAAGAAAATAAAAATTAATAATAGAAATCTATTGTTACACATAAGAAATGGAGTTTGCCCTGCCAGAATTATTAAGTCGTGATGATATATTAAGAATACTTAATCAAGTAAGTAACTTTATTAAAGTAATACAAGAGAAAACTTAATTGTTTAACAAATAATTTTACAGCGTCATTTGCCAATACAAAATATGAATGAATTAACCCATGACGAACTGTTAAGGGTGTACAAAACTTTTGTAATGCCGCTTTCCCGGAGACCAGAAAGAAGTAAAAAATGTAAACATAATTCTACAGTACCAGCTACAAATCTAGATTGTGTTAATGACAAGAGGCAACATATGCAGGTGGAAACTATTGACAGCGCCTCCAACTCAATGGATATAGATTTTCCCAGTGTTACATTATGTCCCGCAGACAACACTAGAATGACTAGCCCTTTGGGTGAAAAACGCCGTCAAGAAAGTAGTGATGAAGATTATTTGGATATATTCGAAAATGATTACCAATTTCAATTGAGTTCGGTTACAAAACGTATACGTATAAATACGTTATCGTGATTTTGACTTTAAACAATTTAGGTAAGGTAATTTAGATTTTTTTTTAATTTATGGTATTTAATAGAATGTAGTCAATAATAAATATTATTAATAACCTAAATCACTATAGTTGAAAATTAATAATGCGTTTGTGTGTTTTTTTTTGTAACACCAAGGAAATAATAAGAAACTACACACAAAAAGGCTTAAATATATTATAGGTATAACTCTCCGATCATGAAAAAATTTATACCACATATAAAGCTTTCAATTCTATGACTTGTGATATAAGTATGTCTTTTGGTCAACAAATGTATAGTTTTGGAGTTATAGACCATCAAAGTTAAATTTATATATATTCAATATCTTTTCTAATTATGAACCGATCCTGATAATATATATATCGTTAGAAAGGCTTTGAAATATCTTTTCAAAGATATATAATATGATCCTTTTTATTAACCCTTTGAGGACTAATTCCACAAAAAGTATTTTTTATATAAAGTTTTTTGATGAAAGTGCCGTTATTTCATAAATCCTTCGATATAATGGTACCGATAAATATCGAGAAAATTGTAGAAAAGATTTCAAGCTTTCTTTTGATGTATAGATATGTGCTAATATTCTTAATAAATGGCGATGATATTTAAGTTTAAAAATAGTAAAGAGAGACTGTGATAAAAAAATTCTTAAATTATTTAAAATAGTGAAAAATTATTTGAAAAAAATCGCGCGATTTTTTTCAAATAATTTTTCGAATGTTTCGAATGTTTTACCCACAAAATTTTTTTTTTTTTTTTGGGTTTACAAATACAACATTTCATTACCCAAAAAATTAAAAAAAAAATGTTCGGGTCCGGCGCTACATACCCATTTCCGAATATTTACCCAGAAAAATCGCAATTTACTCAATATACATAAATCGGTACTTTCTTATGAATGAATTTTTGATATAACAGAACTTTTATTAACAAAGGTTAATATAAAAAGCACAGTTTGTATTAATCCTTCTCAATAGGCTAATAAATTAGCTTCTATTATATATCGTTGGAGAGGTATTTAAAATACTTTTTGTGGAATTGGTCCTCAAAGGGTTAATAAAAACGATCATATTATATATCGTTGAAAAGGTATTTCAGAGCTCTTTCTAATGATATATATATTGTCCGGATGGGTTCTTAAATAGAGAAGATATTGATAATATATATATTTAACTTCGAAGGTCTATAACTCCATAACTATACATTTGTTGACCAAAAGACATATATCATAAATCATAGAATTAAAAGGCCTATAAGTGGTAAAATTTTTGTCAAAATTGGAGAGTTATACCCAATGTATATTAGTTCCCACAAAAATATTTGTCCCATAAATGCCTTCAAGTATACCAATCGAATTAGAATCCTTTTCTGAGTCGATTAAGCCTTACCCTACCGTCCGTCTGGCAGGCTGTCCATGTAAACTTTGTGCGCAAAGTAAAGGTCGCAATTTTCAAGAAAATTGGATGGAATTTGACATATGCAACCAATGACGAAGTCTATTGAAAATTGTTAAAATCGATACGTTATTTCACCAAGCCCTCATACAACCGAAAACACCTAAAAGGGCTTTCGAGCTCATAACTATGTTAAATATACGTAATACATATATCGAAAGAAAGCGGCACAACTAAGATTTATACAATCTTTGATGATCTTGCCAAATTTCATAAATATCGGGCCTCATTTGACCCTATCTCCCATATAGTCTCCTTCAGAAAATGACTAATTTCCAAAATACACTTATAAACACTAATATCGCGATGAAATTTAGCGGATCGGTCTATATGTGCCTCTAGCCCCCATATTAAGCCTCATTCAGGAAATAGTTTTTCGTCCATAAATTGCTTAAATGTATCGGAAACAAGGTATTATTGAAGATAACTGCTTTATTATGAAAAATCTGTCAAACTTTGCAAAGTTGGTCCATAATAGTATATGTATATATTTTTTTAAATTTAGATCACTTGTCCTATCAAGAAACCTTAGTAAATAAAACCACATTTATTTTTTTTATTTTTAATTTTTTTTTATTCGCATACAATATTTGAAATATTTTATTCATTTTAGTTTTGTTCTTTATTATTTTATTCCTCTTTTTTTGGTATTTGTTTTTTTTTTTTTTATTTTGAAATTTATTTAGTTTTATTATTATTTATTACATAAATTACATTAAAAAAATATAACAAAAATAAAGGTACACACCAATTGTTGTTATTGGTTTAGATTGTTGCATGAGGAATTGCCTTTTTTAAAAAAAATAAAACCAATTATGGGCTTTAAAATGCAACATTTATTAAAACCCATAAGTTTATGTTGAGTTTATTTTTTATTACTTCTCTTCAAGTTTTACTAAATTTAAACTATTTTTTTTTTTTGTTTTGTTTGTTATTATTTGTAATTAAATTTTTCTCTTTTGTTTGTTTTGTATTTTTAAGTTTTAACAATTTGCGATTTATCTATCTTTTTTGGTTTTTTGTCACATTTATATACTTACTAAAGTTTTTGTTTAATTTGTTTTAAATTAAATTTCTTTTGTTATGTACTGCTTATATGGTAAATATATGAAAAAATAATAATCATAATATTAATAATAATAATATTTTTGTATATATAACAATTTCGCTAAATATAAATGTTCTTAAATGAGAAACAAATTTTGAATATAGAGGATATAGATTTGTTTTTATACGTTTTTAAGATTAATTTTAATCACAAATTTCAAAATTCTTAAGAAATGTGGCAAACATTTTTAAAATCATGCTCTAGTTTTAATCGATCTTATGACAATTGATTCCCTATTTCAGAACGATTCGATTTCCAATCGATTAAAGATTGTATAACAGAAAGTTTTTGCCCAGGGAAGAACTTCCAACAATTTATCATCAAAGCAATTTTTAACTAAAAATAATGGTTATGGAAATGTTCTTTTATATTTTTATTCGATTTATTAAATACAACATTCTCAAGTATGGTATAGTGATGATCACAAAATAAGCTTCTAAATAAGATTTCAACTTCATTTCTATCATAAAACTTTGAAGATCCACAAATTTTAAGAAACAGTGAAGAATTGTATATAAACAACTTATTTGAATTTCTCCCTTTGTAACTTTCGATATATGTATGTATAAATTGTTGCATTGAATTTGTGTATAATTCACATCTAATAACTGAATCCTTGAAAGCTCTTTAGAAGTCCATTTAAATCACAATTATATTCCACAAAAGTAATGGTGGCATTATTAGTTCCAAATTTGTTATTCTAGAAACTAAACTGGATATGTGATCGACTTAAATTCGTCGTAATTTAACTTTTTGAGATGATGACTTTCGATGTCGAATAAGAATTCTAGTATATTTTACTTAAATTTCGAAACGAAAGCTTTATAAAAATGATTTATAAAACGGGTTACAAAAGGGACTGTTATTAGAGAATCTAGAGCGTTTCTATGTGCATCCATTATAGAACTAGTTATATCACAAAAACCTCTAACACTGGGTTATTGTTTTACGAAAGTCGAAGAAGGTTCCTGACCATCTGAAAAGAGTGCAGAATAATCAAGTCTCATGGTATTAGTTAGTTTAAATCTATTGACACAAATTATCCCGAAAGAAAAATTACCACAAAAACAAACTTAACAAAGAACTTTTAGAAAAGTTTTAAATTATTCAATTTTAGAAGCATAATTATAACACTTCTGTTATCATTTCAACACCATTTTTTTCATGAAAATAAAGTTTACTCTACCTAACTTTGAAATCCGTTTTAAACTCCCCAACTCCACAAAATTTTGTTTCTCATAGAAAAACATTACAATTATTCTTTGAATAAAATTTGTATCTTAATTGCTAATAATACTCAAAAATTAATTTTCATAGTCTAAGCTTACAGGGTCGACGACGAGCACTATATAATAGCAAGATTTTCTTACGTACTCATACAGCCGTCTCGGTATCAGTCTCGTCTATGCGTCCCAAACGCCATGAATTTGGATCTCCTACTGTAAAAAGAGAAATTTGTTTTGTTTGGTTTTCTATTTAATTAATTAAAATAAATTGTTTTTGAAATCAATATTAAGATCACTCATAGAAGAAATTGTTTAATAATTAAGCAAACTAAGGAAATTGTAAAGAATACTAATCATTTACATAAGTTTGCGCTTTAACGCCATGCCTTAGCCAAAAACGATTATTAAGTTGTGTAAACTGTTAGTAAACTATTATTAACTTTAGTAATCGTTTTTGCATAAGGCAGTAACAGTTTTAGAATTTTTACATTATAACTCGCAAACTAGACATTTGCTTAAAAGCTTAAAGAAACTGTTTTGAACTTGTTTTTATTGTTCATACTAGCAAGTTGGAAACTTTGTATATTTGCATAAATTTTAAACATTCCAAAAGAGTAACCTTAATATTTGCCTTAATTTTTAATCATTACTTGTTTTTTCTTTTAATAATTTTTCTAAATCAAAAAAGAAAAATAGAAACAAAAATATATCAATCATGCAATTTGTACAATCATAACACAAAAAAAATTTAAAACATTTTAGTTTAAAAGAAAAACCAAACGAAGAGTTACCTAATACTAAAATCTAATTGGACACTTAATTAAGAAAACATTACAACACAAACACATATACAGTAGTAAACGAAATAGTATTGTTTGTATTTACAAACACTTTTTTTTAAATTTAGAACAAGATTTAAAAGAAATGAAAAAAAAAATCAAACTGAAAAATTATTTTTTATTAATTATTTATAAATTATAAATTCTTTTTTTTTTTTTTGTAATACTTACCACTTTCATAATATTTCGATATCCGTGGTAGGGCTATTTTTATTATTGTTGTTGTTATAGTTGTCATTAGTTTTTGTAGTTGTAGTTGTTGAAAACAAAAAAAGAAAATCAAAATTAAAATTTTCTAAACGAAAAGTATTTCAAAAAAAAAAAAAAAACAAACAAACTAAAACTGATTGAACTTTGTTCTTTAATGAATTAGCAATAATAAAAAAAATTGTTATATGTAATTTATTTGTGAGTGAGTGTATTTTTTTGAAAAATAACAAACAAATTCTGGTTCTTTTGTTAGAAGTTGAGAAAAAATTTGTAAAAGGTAGTGGGGGGAATATTTTAAGGCTTAAAGCATTTGTTTTCTAAAATCGGCCATAATTCAAATTAAATAATAACTAATTATACAAGATTTATCTTTAATTTTCGTTTTTATTTTTTCCAATTGTTTATAATTTTTATTTTTTTTTAAATTAAATTATAAATATAATTAACTTACAGTAAATGAAAGGTTGACAAAACGTAATTAACATTTTCTTCCTTAATGAGATAATAATGTTCATTAACATTAGTTTGAAGTAGAAATTTAATCATATTGCTCATTTACCACAAGACTGTCATAATCCAAAAAAACTCCTCTCAAGAAAAATTGGCTTTGAATGTTTAATGAATTAAATAAAACAAGGGATTTGAAAAATCGATTTTAGTATGACATTTGATTTGTAGCCCTCAGTTCGAAAAACTTGAATTTTGCATTATGCCAGTCTTGTAGTAAATGAGCGATATGTTTTGCAACCTTTCATTTCATATTTAAAGAGTTTTAATTAATGCTAAAGCAAGAATAGGAATTTTTTTGTTGTTTTTGAAAATTTCAAATTTTTGGAAATAATTTGTGTAACTTTTTTATCTACAAATATTTGTATGCAAAACAAAAACCTCTACGTATTTCATATTTTACGTTCCAATTCTTTCACAAGACTGATTGACGTCAAATATATTTAAAAAGACGCCAGACAAAGTAATGTAAATTTTTCATAATTTTTTATTTATAAATATATAATGCGTTTTTTTTTTCTGCAAAATATAAATTTGCATATCTTTAGACTAACAATAATTCATTAAAACCATTTACGTATATATTTAGTAATGAATATTAAATTTTTTCATAATAAGTTGTTCAAAAACGTATGCAAGCAGAACGAAGCGGCCCTTTAATATCAACGTTGGAACTAGTGATGTCCTCATTACTACTAGAACTCATTCTATGGAATATTATTGTTGTTCTAAAGTTCTTAAGAGTTTTCTTGTAATCACTTCTTTCATTGGTTTTAAACTAGTTCTAAAACCATCACTTTGGAAACAATTGTAATAACAAGATGTCTTGAAGAAAGAAGCAGATATAAGAGTGGTTAAACCTTTATTTTAAGTCGGCAGATTGGACTTTCAGATGACATAACCAAAAACGTTTTTTTTTTTCAAACTTCTTGACACGATATCTGGACAATAGAAGTGAAATTTTTGTTCCTTTGAAATTTTCATTCCCCTTGAAGGGAAAATTTACAAAATTCCATCAACAAATTTCGCAACAGGGGAATTTTTTTCACGACAAAAAAGTTAGTGAATGAAAAAAGTGAAAAGAGACCATATTTCACGTGAAATGTTGATTGGCGATAGGGGTGAATGAGATGGATTCTCTTCTTCTGAGGCTAAATTCGTATTCAGTTCTGCTCCGTCCTTTAGAAATGTAAACTTTTCTGGTATCTGCGATTCACTATTAGTTTAGTCTATAGTTTTGTCTATAGCCTACTCTAGTATATAGTATAGTCTATAGTCTAGTCTATAGTCTAGTCTATAGTCTAGTCTATAGTCTAGTCTATAGTCTAGTCGATAGTCTAGTCTATAGTCTAGTCTATAGTCTAGTCTATAGTCTAGTCTATAGTCTTGTCTATATTCTAGTATTTGCTATATTTAGTTCATTAGGGTGACAATTTTATAGAAGTAAGAGGGAATAGAGTAGCTCTCAACGCAAACTAGTACTAACACAATATTTTCTTAGCTGGAAATTTATAGTTAAATACCATGATTGTTCTTAATAACTTATTATTTTTCTATATTTACTTTATTTACAGTTGAAGAAAGAATAACTGTTTTAGAAGCTGTAAGGATGCTGTTCTAAAAGACGTTTTCTTTGAGATACAAGGAGTGGAAAAAAAATTCAGGAACTCCAAGGAACATATGCAGCTTAAATGATTTGGTTTCAAGGAAGTGTTTCTATAAAAGCAAAGCAATTTGCATAAGACACGTTTTACCTCTTTTTTACTCTCAATGTCTGGTAGTTGTTATCAAAACGATATGCTCGTTCGTTCGTTCTGATTAAAAGTAGCCAGCCGGCAAAATTACAACATTCGATAATAAACGAAATCTTCATTTAAATTAAGATTTCGATTGATATCGAATTGCATAATTTTTCGGCACATATTGAGATAATATTACTTTAGTGTTAAAGCAATATTTGTACAAAACTTTAGTTAGATTTTATTAGGAAACTTTTAAAATGCTTATTTATTATATAAATAAGTTAAAAATATGTAATACTTTTTTATTTTACTATATTGCTACTTAGTAGGGTGATCGACTCGATTTTTCAACCGGTTTTAAAACCGGTTTTTTCTGCTTTACCAGTGTCGTTTTTTTCTAAATGTTGATTTTTCGAATATCGAATAACCCGGTTTTTTCACTTTTTAAAAACCGGTTTCGAATACTTTTATTTGCTTTGTATTCAAAGATTATTTAAATGAAATTTTGAAGTAAATAATACAGCCCGTTTAAATTTAAAAATATTCGAGTCCAGGAACTAGGATATATTTTTCTAAAGCACCATTGGTTAAACTTTTCTGATTTTCCTAATTAATTAAAAAATTTTATTTGTAAAATTGATAACTGTTTAATAAAATTTTATTAATCTTAAGATTATATTCCAATTACAATAATTAATTTACCGCTGAAATATTATGGAAGTGTTGGAATGCCTATGAAAATTTCCTAAAAGGGCTTTAGAATAAGCTAGGATTACATAGTACCTTATGTTTAACAGAAGTGTCCACTTTTTTCCTAATTTTTTTTTTTTTATATTAAAGAAATAATGTAAATCAGACGACTAGATCTAAAGTTATAATCTGTTAAACTGTTAAAAATCATTTTGGGCCATGTTTTATTAATCAAATTTAATCATAAACATTAATTTCTTCAAATTAACATATATTTTTTTATTTATTATGAAAAACCGGTTAACCGGTTTTTTCTGAATTTGAAAAATATCAACCGGTTTTTTTGAAATGTCAACTATTCGAACTATTCGAAAACCGGTTTTTGGAAAATGTCGAATAATCGATCACCCTACTACTTAGTTATAGTATTTATTATTAAGAAAACTATGTAAAATAAATAAAATTGAAATTTGCTTAAAAACGGTTATTATTTTTATTCAGTTTATTTGCCACAACTCCATAAAATTCGTAAAATTGTATCGTTTTTCTTTTTAGTAAGTTGGTCACGTTGAGGCAAATTCGTCCAAAAATCCAAATTGTTAAAATTCTGGCAAAAATACCAGGCGGACAGAATTTCCAGCAAGTAACTTTTGTATTTTTTTAATAACTACAGCATATTTTTAGGACGTAGATTTTATACAGTGCACCCTGTTGATTTTAATATAAAAGGAAACACCTTATTGCTGAATTAGTTTAATGAACAAATTAAAGCCTATTTTGGGGCGTTACGAATTCGGTGTTATTTTTAGCAAACTTTAGTTAGGATAACGAAAATTTCTTTGAAATTGAAAAAGATGTAAAATTTTAATTATAAAAATTGCAAAATAGTGAATAAGTGTTTAAATTGGATTAAATAACAAGAATTAAAAAATGCTAATTAAATAAAATTTTATTAAAAAAGTAAAAAAACATATAAAAATAAGATTTAGGCTTGCCACACATACCAAACGAAATGGTTTCAACTGTATAGTTTTTTTCGATTGATTGAAGATATGAAAATTGATGGTGAATGTTGTTAAATTATTTTCATATACACCATCAAAAGGGAGGAGGGATATATCCAGCAGTTCGGCCGGACAGTTCCGAACTAACTATTTATCCTACCACTTAGGGTTACCCCTAGTTACCGATTACCCAGGTGACTAGCTATTTTATGTATGTGCTTGAACTACAAGAAAGTCAATCGTCACTCCATAGATTACGAAGAGACAGACAAAAAGCTTTAGTTTGTTTTTAAGTGTCTCGCTTACAAAGGGGGCACACTATAGTGCCCCCTATATCTTCACCCTCGTTTGTAAATAGTACATCCGTGATGAAAGACGAATTAGATGGTTAGACTTTAGTGGAAATCACTTTCTTTTTCGGATGCATTGACTCTTTGTCGAACTGCTGGGTAGTGATTTTGCCTGTGTAACACATCGAAATATTGGTGACACTGTGTACATTTCAGGTTCTTTTAGATTGTATGTCCGTTTGCAAATGTTCCTATTGATGCAGTTTGTTTCGTAATGAAAATGAGCAAAATCGGTTTAAATTTGACACTAATTCACATGTACATAGTTAGTTGATATTTTACAAATCCGAAGAAATTAACCTAGACTGTTATGCACTCATTTACCAGAGAAACTGTTAGGAATCGAACCTACAACCTCCGTTTTAACTAAAATTGTTTTAAAGTTGACAAATCTCAATTCCATATCAAATGAAAACTATTTATCCACAAGAAGCAAAAATAATATCACTTTTTCTTGAAACTGAGTACGGTGACATGATGATGGAAAGTTATAGGGGAATTGTATGAAAAGCTTTAGAAGAAATTTTTAAGAAAAACGCCAAAATAAAAATAGCAAAACATAATTAAAAATGGCAAAATAAAATTGTGTTAAGCAGTAAGAAAATTTTAATAAAAACATGTAAAACTAAAACTTTGAAATAAAGCATAAAGTAAATTAAAAACATATAAATTTACAATTTTTTAGCAAATTGGAACAAAACGCCAAAAAGAAGTTTTGATCTTAAAGAATTTTTTAAGCTTTAAAAGTTACTGTTTTGTATTTTCTGTAATATTAAACTTAGAAACCTAAAATTATACATTTCAGACTCCTGAGTGAATGAAAATCTGTAGGAAAGGATGTTTGGCACTTTTTAGTTCTTCAACTTGTAATTTTTGGTTTTTCTGCAATAATGCACCTAGAAACATATAATCAAACATATTGGATTCTAAAGGAATGAAAATCTATAAGATCAGCAAACCGATTGTTTTAAAATTTATAAAGGGAGAGTTTCTGGTACTTTTTCGTCATTGAAATGGTACTTTTGTAGATTTTCTGAATTATAAAATCATACATATGGGATCCTAATGGTATAAAAAATTAGTTTTTTCAAAAACATAGAATTCAATATTTTCATCCTGATTGAATGAAAATCTATAAAAGGTGACTGGTACCGGATTTTTTCTTTCGAATTATAATACAAGGAGTATAATCTCATTCGCAAGAAATTGGTCGACGTAGATTAACCAAATTTTACGAGAATTTGAGTGATTATTTTTCGTTCGCTTGGCTTTTCCTTTCTTTCGATATCGTACTTTTTTATTTGTAAAAACCTTTTTCGATCACTTGTTAGAGAAAAAAGTTACAGAATTATTTCCAATTTTTCAATAGCAATACATTGAATATAAAAAGCTTAAAAGGAGTTAAAGAAAAATGAAGTTTGTTAAGCCTTTGTTATACTTCATAAAAAAAAATTTTGCAACAAATTATATTTCAGTTGGAAAATTTTATTCAAAAAATAAAATATTGAAATACAATTTGCTTTATTCAAAAACACAAAATTAGCTTTAAACAGTGTAAAGCACTAGTTTAATAATAGTAAAAAAGTTTTAAATAAACTTCATTTTATTAACTGTATTTTTTTAAAGGCAAATACAGTTTAGTAATGTTTTATAAATCCTAATTATAAATATTTATAAATTCAATATTTCCTTAAGCTGTGAGAATACACTTAATTAGCATAATGTTAGTAGTAGTTTTTTTTTTTTTTGTTTTTATAATAATGTTAAACATTAATATTTGGTTTAGTTTGTTTTCTTTTTTTTAACATTTTTATCGATTTACAATTAATTCTAACTCATTTTACTCTAGTTATTATTATAAATTATTTTTGTTAATTTAGTTACTGGTAGCTTATTACCGTATTTCCTTTTGTTCTATTTATAAAGTAGTTTTTGTTTAATATTTTTTTCTTTTTTATACAAAATTTGACTTTTTTTCCTATAGCTGAGTAGTAGTAGTAGTAGTAGTGGTGTGAGTTTAAACTTAAAACTTTAAAAGGAAAGTAAAAAAAAAAACAAGAAATTATTCTTTTATAATCAGGCACGGTGGTATGTCTGAGGTGGTAGTATATTCAGCTGCTGAGCAGGATTCATCGTCGTTGCTTAGGCCGTGGCCTGTGTTAGGCTTGTACAACTGAAAAGTTTTAGTAGTGTATGTACGGCCCAAAAGAGGCACATGCTCTTCTAAAATAGAATTATAAACACAAATAGTATATTTTAAAACAAAAATAAAAAAAACATAAAAAAACACAAATAAACAGAAAACATAAAACAATAAAAATTTCAACAAAACATAAAGTTAATTATAAAAAAAATTAAGTTTTCTTTTACTCTAAAACAAACTTTTAACTTTGCCATGCAACAACATACAAAAAAAGTTTATTTTTTTTTAATTTGAAATTAATTTGTAACGGTTTTTGTTAGTTTATAAATGAAGGCATTTTGTTTTGTTAAAAATATAATAGTTAGTAGAGTATTAGTTTTGAAGACAAGTATTTAAAATTGAAAACAAAAAAAAAATATATAATAACAACATTTCGACAACAAGCACTAGAGTACAATAATAATAATCATAATAAAGAAGAAGAAAAAAAAGCCAATGATGTTTTTGTTTTGTTTAAAAAGAAAAATTTAAATGTTTTTGTGTGTAGAAAAAAAATTATATGAATAAAAAACCCAAAAAGTATGCTATACATGTACAATAATTAAAATAACGTGATAATTTGTTTGGTGGTTGAAATATGTTTAAAATGAAAATAATTTGTACCTTGCAATTGTCGATTTATTAAAGCTGTTAAACTGTGTCCTTCTACACTTTTTTTCATAATGAGCATCGGTTTATCTTCTGCATCATCATAACTACCGGATGGTAAAAATCCATTACTGGCAATTGACTCGCTAACCTGTAAAGAAATTAATTTATAAAATTTAATGATAAAACATTTTAAATGAACTTATTATTAAAATTAAGTTACTTTTAAGCGACAATAACAAACATAAAACGTATACGATATTAATGTTTTAGACTTCGAAAGATCGGGTAGCCCAGCGTTTTATTAAGAACTTTTTTAATATTACAATATAAAGTTTTTGTAAAGTAATCCATTGACTAGTCAATAGATTAGTCATAAGAAGATAGATAAGTATAGTTAATTAACTTGTTAATAAAGATGAAGTCTAGCCCAACCCCGATCGGGTAGCCCAGCGTTTTTAATATTACAATATAAAGTTTTTTTTAAGTAATCCATTGACTAGTCAATAGATTAGTCATAAGAAGACAGATAAGTATAGTTAATTAACTAGTCCATAAAGATGGACGGCTGTATTTATAAAAACTTATTTTAGGTTTATTAAACAATTTTAGGCAAAATTCAAGAAAATCGTATTTATAAACGTGAAATAGCTTAAAACACCTTCAATAAACCATTGACAATTAGAAGAATTTTATTGTAGGCTCGACCCTTCTTTAAGCCAAAAATAAGTTGATTTTTAACCAATTTTTTTTCTCAGATAAAGATTTTTCCGGTAATTTTAGGTTGATTGCGAAAACTAATTATGGTTTCTTTTAAAATAAAATCTAAAAATTCTAATTTTAATGTTTACAAATTTGTAAATAAAATCCCAGAAAATTTTTAAACGATTATATTTTGAGGAAAAAACTCAAATCTAGGCATTATTGGATTAATGCATGAATATTTGACAATATTCCAATTGTCCATCACTATTTTTAGGAAATTTGGAAATGCCCGTCTGTCAACCAAATGATGGACAAAATCATTTGATTTGGCTTTTTCAAAGTTTGTTGGTTAAATATAATGCCATAAAGTAATTAACCATGTAAATTATATTGATTAGTGTTATACTAATGCAAAATATATTCGCCGGCATTAAAATTAGTCAAATATCAAAGAAATTTATCAATATTTGCAAAAATTTATCAAAAATTACAAGGAAAATAAGTAAAAATAAGAAAATGTGTCATAGTGATGTATATTTTGTCGCAAAATATCCGTTATTCGGATACTTTTAATAATAATTAGAAATTATATGTTATATTTAAACATCTGAACTGAATAGACATTTATTAAAGCCATATATATATTTATTTTTCTTAAAAGTTTGTTTTTATTGTCAAAAATCTATTATAAACAAAAATATGAAATTAAGAAAACCGAATCAACGAATATTTTATCCTTATTGTACGCAACACTAACACATAAAATGACAGCCATATTGTACAATGCTGCCAACTTAAACATAAATCAGTACAATAGTTAATATACGTTTATTATTTGTTTATGAATATCACAATTTTATTAATGGTTTTTAAGGCTAAAGTGTGCTTTAACTATTGAGTGCATTAAAAGCAAAATAAGATTTTTTTATAAATACAAGCGGGAGTCTATAGCCCATAAACAAGTCAGTAGACTAGTCAATAGACTATTTCATAAGCAAGTTCATAGACTAGTCCATAAACTAATACATAAAATAAACCATAAACGAATCTATACACTAATCTATAGCTTAGTTCATAAACAAGTCGTGAAGTTATTTGATACTTTAAATCAATTTTTGGAAAAAGTTAATACTATTTTAACAACTAAATGCCTGATATTTATCTTATTACAGATTTAAGAAAGATTTTGGAATTATTATAAAACTAGTAAGAATTCGTCATCAGTACGCTGTTGATTATTGCATTCCGGAACTGTCTCTAATGAGATAATTCCAATATTATATCACTACGGAGTCTCAAGAATCTCTCCTTCCGCCAAATAATTGCTTGTGTATGCACACGGATCCAAGACGACGAAAGGAGTTGGTGGTGGCATTGAGGAATTTGGTATAAAAATCTCTTTCCGACTCAATGATGAAGCCGTATTATTCAAGGTGAAATATTAGCGATAAAGACAGGGATATCAGAGTTTATACCGATAATCAAGCTGTTACTAAATCCCTAATTATTGTGTTTTCCACATCTAGAATTGTCCATGAATGTCGGATGTCTCTCAACGAGATGGCGAGATATTCAAACATCATCCTAATTTGGGTCAGGGGACACGGGAGTTCGTATGACAGTAATAAGTATGGCAAGAAGTGGCACTATGCTTAGCGGACTGGAAATAGATCAGTTCTGCGGTGTTCCAGTACTTGTAATAATGAGGCAGATTATTGAAAACTGCACCTCTATTGCTCGTATCTGATGGTGTCGTGAACACACGTGCTCAATAGCTAGAACGCATTGGTATTCCGTTCAATGATTTCTGTAGCAGTTGTCAAAATGAGGATGAAGAAGAGACTATATCTCATCTTCTCTGTAATTGTCCTGCCTTGGCAGAGAACCGAATTCGGACGCTTGGATCGGCCTACTTTGGCGATCTATCCGAATTGTCGAATATCCAATTGGAACGTCTTTTGGCTTTCATAAATTTGTCAGAATGGGTGTGAACTTCGGTATTCACACTAATCAGGACGTAATCTTTGCGGATCTCCTCAACGGTTTCCTCACTTCTCCTCTCTTCCTTTTTCATTTCCTCTCTTTTCTACTTTTCCGTATCTTTCTTTTCTTCTTACAGGTATTTTTACAAATGGATCAACTTGGACCCAAGTAAATCTGCATGTAGGGGCTTTCGAAAACTGATTTCCTACATACACACAGACAGACTCCGCTATCTATGACCTGCAGTTCGAAAAAGAGCCAATTCATCCGAAAAAGGCAGTGATTTCCACTAACTTCTAACCAATTGGTTGGCTCTAATTCGTCTTTCGTCACGGATGTACTCTTTTTAAACGAGGGTGAAGATAATCGTCACTTTAGTGTCCCCTCTGTAAGCGACTTAAAAAGCAAACTTCAGCTATTTGTCTGTCTCTTTGTAATCTATGTCGTGACGATTGACTTCCTCGTAGGACATAGCTAGTCACCTGGCTAGGTTGGTGACTAGGGGTAACCCTAATTGGTGAATTAGTTAGTTCGGGACTGTTCGATCGAACTGCTGGGTAAGGACTCGATATATACTTATATGCTTTTAAAATTTAACACTTTAACCCTAAAACTCGCCTTACCTGTGTTACTTGCATTAGTTTTTTGACCACATCACGTCCCAGTATGTGATCAAAAACTGTCTGTAAAAACGGTTCCGACATTATAGATAATTTTAATTTATCCCGATGCCATATCAGAACTCTCGATTCTTCCATGGCCATAATTGAGACCTAAAATAAAGATTGAAAATAAGGCATAAATAACTATAATTTGTAAGCAAATCCTGGTTGATAAAAGGAATCAGATTTACAGATTTTAAGCATACTTTGTAAAGCTATTAAAAATTTGTATTACCTGAAAATAATCGTCCGTTGAAACACCAAACCATTCTGGGGAATCTAGGAACTGATGTGGAAATACTATATGTAATGCTCGTTGATTTTGTGATACCACTAACCTTTAATTAAAAGAAATAGAATATATTTTTAAATTGATTTTAAACTAAATATTTTAAGGACCTAGTTAAGATTAGATAGACTAGAATTTAGTTCAGACTATAGGAGAGATTGTAAACTAAAATGAACTCTAAACCCTAGACAGGATTATGACTAAATTATTATAAAATGTTTGAAATTTTTATTGAACTAGTTAATGGACTATAGACTGATATTTAGTCTAAACGATAGGCTGGTCTATAGTCTAAACTATTGACTGGTCTATAGTCAAAATTATAGACTGGTCTATAGTCTAAACTATAGACTAAACTGTATTCTAATTTATAGATTGGACTATAGTCTAGACTGCATAATGGACATTAATCTAAAATATAGACTATACTCTGGACCATTGTCTAAACTCTAGACTGGACTATAGTCTAAACTATAGACTGGACTGTAGTTTAATCTATAGACTGGACTATAGTCTAAACTATAGACTGTGCTACATTATAAACTGTAGACTGCACTATAGATTATTTTCTAAATAAACTTTAGACTAAACTTTTGTGTATAACTGTAGTCTATACTATGTACTGGACTGAATCTAGAGTATAAGTAATCTACTATAGACAGAACTATAGTCTGTACAAGAAACGAACTATATCTAAACTATGGACTATAAACTATAGACGTGTGTGAAAACACGTATTTTGAATATGTAAAACACTATATTTAAACGTTATATGCCAAATAATTTTTCCCTAATCCCCTTTTTAATAGATTAGATCAGGTAAAAAAAAAAACAAAGTCACAAGATTTAACAATAAATTACTAACTACCACTACTTACTTTCCCGATAATACCAACGATAGACTATCGACTTTGGTAACTTTTTCTTGTGCATACACCTCCTGATATTTGAGGGCACGTATCAGTTTCATGCAGTTCAAAACTTTTTTAAATTGATGTCGTGTTACGTGCAACGGTTTGAATAAAGCCTCATAAACCTGCAATAATAAAGAAATGTGAAATAATTAGTTGTAATCAGATTTTTGTTTGTTATTATTTAAAGTAGTAAAAAAAGAATTATGACTAATAGATAAACTTAATTATTCTAGCGTAATTTTACAATATTTTTGTGCAATAGTAGGTAAACAACAACAACACTATCAAAGTGCATTTGAATAATATTTATTTAGCTTAATTTTAAAAAATTTTATTTTCTTCGACTTTCGCAAAAGGTTCATTGAACACTTTGAATGCCGCCAAAGAATTTTTTTATATATTGTTTTGTGTTTAACAATTCATTTTTATGTCAAACAATTTGCTTATGAAGTTAAAGGAGATACATACATACTTATGTACATCCACACGCAGACGGAAGACATGTTTTTTTTTTGTTTATTGATGGCACCTACATAAGGGGTCATTTTTAATCTTCTCTTTTATTGGCACGTAAATTTAAATATTTTTGTGCTTAAATTTATTAATTGTAAAAAAATTATTGTGAAAATCCTAAAACCTGTATTTTTAATTGTCTGTACTAAATATTTATAAAATGATGAAATCCTGTTATTGAATTTGTTTATTAATATGTTTTTAACCCTTTAAGGAAGGTTTTGTAGATCAGTCTATCGTCTGGACTACAGATCAGTCTATAGTCTGGACTATAGATATGTTTAGACTATAGACTATGGATAAGTCTATACTATAGCCTATAGATCAGACTATAGACTGATAGTCTGGATAATACATAAGTTTATGATCTGTACTCTAGACTAGTCTATGGTCTGGACCATTGCTCAGACTATAGTCTGGACTCTGGACTATAGCTCAGTCTATGACCTGGGCTACAGATCAGTCTATGGTCTGGACTATAGATCAGTCTATAGTCAGGACTATAGTTCAGTTTATATAGATCAGTCTATATTCTGGACTATAAATCATTTTATAGTCTGGACTATAGATCAGTCTATAGTCTGGACTATAGATCAGTCTATAGTCTGGACTATAGATCAGTCTATAGTCTGGACTATAGATCAGTCTATAGTCTGGACTATAGATCAGTCTATAGTCTGGACTATAGATCAGTCTATAGTCTGGACTATAGATCAGTCTTTAGTATGGACTATAGATCAGTCTATAGTATGTGCTATAGATCAGTCTATAGTATGGACTATAGATCAGTCTATAGTCTGGACTAGAGATCAGTCTATAGTATGGACTATAGATCAGTATATAGTCTGGACTATAGACCAGTCTATATTCTGGACTATAGATCAATATATAGTCTGGACTAAAGACCAGTCTATAGTCTGGACTATAGACCAGTCAATAGTCTGCACTATAGATTAGTCTATCGTCTGGACTATAGATTAGCCTATCGTCTGGACTATTGATCAGACTATAGACTTATAGTCCTGACTATAGATAAGTTTATGGTCTATACTCTGGACTTTGGACTATTGATCAGTCTATAGTGTGTACTATAGACTGATCTATAGCCTACGCTATAGATCAGTCTAAAGTCTGAAATATATTTAGATCTGTTTGTAGTCCGGAGTGAATCGCTCTATACTTAGATCATTAGATCATCTTTACAATGGATCATTATATATTCTTAAATTTAGATAAGTCTATAATCTTAACTATAGATTAAACTTTAATCTTTACTAATGATTAAACAATTTTCTAAAAAATAACGAAATTCAAAAACTCTATTCTTAACAGACATCAAGGTTCTTTTCATCTTCTTTCTCCAACTTGACCTTCAAAATGAATATTTTTGAACAAATTTAAACAAAGAATTTATCATTTCATAAAACTAAAACTTGACCTATATTTGACAAATTTTCAACATAAATCACATTAAGAACAAATTTAACCATAAATCTCAAAAAAAAAAAGAAAACAAAATGCAATTTAATTTAATAGTTTGCCTTAATAGGAATGGAATTTTTTTTCTGCCTCTCTAAGATAATCAAAATGAAAGTAATAAAATTTACAATTCAAAATAATCTACAAACAACTACTGTTGAAGCAACTGAATAATTTGATCATAATAAACATTATAATTATAATTGAAAATTTACTGCAAAATAAAAAAAAAATTCAAGGGAATTCTTTGGCAATCGTGTCGAAAATGATTTGTTTAGACGAGAATAAAATAGAATGTTTTGTGAAAATAAACTAAACAAAAAATCCTAAATTATAGTAAACTCAATGTTAAAGAGCTATTTTTATAAAATAACATGATTGATGCTTTTGATTTCACAAAATAATTTTCTTAATTTGTCCCAAATATTGCCGTTTATTAAACAAGTATCCATCCATTAAGCTTGTACTGAAATATTTGCCTTACGCTTTGTGAAAGAGTGTGATAAAATTTAAAAAAAAATTGAAAAAAATGCGCAAAACAATGTTTAAAATTATAATAATTTACAAGTGTCCAAATAATAACATAAATTAATATTAATAAAAGCCTGATACGATCGTTTTTGTTTTGTATTCACACCAGATCGTTTAAGGTATTTATTGTTTTATTATTACTTATGTAGGGTTTTTTTTTTTACTTTTAACTAAAATGAGGTTAAGACCTTAATTGATTGTAATTATTAAAAAACACAGATGAAGAGATCTATAGTGAAGATAAAAAGGTTCAGTCTATAATTTAGATTACCGATCAGTCGACTGTTTTAACTATAGTTCTGTCTATTGTCATGATTATTGATCAGTTTATAGTCTCGACAATAAATCACTCTATAATCTTTATATAATAATTTAGTATGTGGATCAGGCACTCAAACAATTTGCCTACGGATAAGTCAATATTCTGGACTGTAAATCAGTGTTTAGCACTATAGATCTAATGTCTGGAATATAGATCAGTCTAAAGTTTGGATTATAATCAGTCTATAATCTGGACTATAGTTCAGTGTATAGTCTGGACTATAATCAGTCAATAGTCTTGACTATAGATCAATCTATAGTCTAGACTATAATCATTGTATAGCCTTGACTACAGATCAGTATATAGTCTCGACTACAGATCAGTCTATAGTCTGAACAGTAAGTCAGTATATAGTCTTGACTAAAGATCAATCTATAATCTGGACTATTATCAGTCTATAGCCTTAACTATAGATCAGTTTATAGTATTTTTTATAAATCAGTCTATAGTCTTGAATATAGATCAGGTTATAATTTGAACTATAGATCAGTCAAGTCTGTTTGAGCAGTCTACAGTCTTGATTATACATTAGTCTATAGTCTTGACTATAGATCTTGACTTATAGGTCTTGACTTTATATCAATCTACAGTCTTGACTAAAGATCGGTGACAGTAGTAATCGATTCTCTAGTTGCTAAGCACACAAATTGTCACACATAAACATTTTATCACAATTTTTTTTTTCAAAAAAGAAAACATTGATTAAAAATTCTGTTTTACACGATATTTTAGAAAAAAAAACAAGCAACATAAAATTTTATTTCCAACACCCCACATACAACAATAAACATTTAAGAAGAACCAACAAACAAACTAAAATAAACGAACGAATAAACGAATCAAGCCACCAACGAGACGAACCGAAACGAACGACCGATATTTATTTCACACCAAGTAAAGCTCAGACATCACTGAAATCAACCCAGTCACGTAGGCCAAAATTCACCTTTGTTCTCTCTTCTTTTCATATTCATACGTCTGAAAATATAAACACACAACAGTCTGAAACTCAAAATGTAATAAAATGAATTGCAAACGTAAACAATCGGGTTTACAATGCTTTTTTTTGTTGCTGTTGTTGCTATATTTTTTGCAATTTAATCCAATTAAACCGTATAACACAATGGCAAAAACAAACGGCAAAGAGTAAATAAAAAAATATGTAACCGGCACTGTTATTAAGATCATGAAAATGTAAATAAACATTATAAGCCAGAGAGCTGAGCAGTTTACAAAAGATCAGAACATAAACATAATCTGGCAAGAGTGTAATAATAAAATTGCTCTGAAATATATTTTCAATTCAGCTGTTACAGAATTCTTACAACAAACAAAAAAAAAAGAAAAACTCAATGATGAGGAGGTGTGTCTCTGTATTTGTAAGCTAATCTTTGCCCACTCTTTAATTTACAACATTTACAACGTTTAGTACTCTATTTTTACTCTTTAATCAAAAAGGCGTTAATGTTTATTATTTCTTACACTTACCGATTATTGCCTGTGATAATTTAGCACATTAAAACACCTCTTTTGGTACTACATAGTTGTTAATTTGGTACGTTTAAGTACTTTTAAAATTCCACTATAGTTTCCTAAAAAAATGATCACTTGTGCACAAGCGAACGTGTGCAGTTATTATTAACAATTTTGATAACGTGTTTTCGTATTATTTTGTCTAAAAGGGTTTTCTAAAAAAATGACTCACTTTTGTTTAAACAATTAGTGGCGCTTATTTAAATATTTTTTTTTTTGCTTTTTTAACCTTTTAGTTTGTAGTTTTTTTATTAAAATGGTAAATTTTGTTATTCAGAGACAAAGGTCAATTTTGATTTAGTTTTGTGTATTTTTTTGTTAAATTTTGCGGAAAAGAAGCAGGAAGTAATTAAATTATACATAATTATAAATTGTATATTTTGAAAGTTACAATGTAAGGTTGTATTTTACATTATTTTAAGTTTATTTCTAAAGGTTCAGAGTTCAAGGTTTGCGCGTTTAACAATTGAATAAGTAAAATTTAAAATTTGTTGAAAGGTTAATGACCGTTATTGTGTAAGAGGTGTTATATGAAGGCTAAATGGTCAAATATGGACCGTTCTTTTTGAAATTTATAGGCTGATCTATAGTTAAGATAAGGGACTGATCAGTCTATTATTTTGATAATAGACTGATCAGTCCCTTATCTTAACTATAGATCAGTCTATTGGTTAATATATAGATCAATCTATAGTCTTCATTATAAATCAATCTACAGTCTTATTTTCAGTCTATAGTTGTGAC